AGACACGTCATATAATTTTATTTAATTATAAGCAGCATGGTTAAATTAAATATGTTGAAACGATTAATGCGGACAGGGATTACAATCACAAAGTTTCTTGGTGAGATAGCATAAAATGTTAGTAAATATAAGAAAAACATCGATAAATCAGAATCTTGGTCAACTTGCTAATGCAGAAAAGAATAATAATTTAAACAAAACATTTAGTCAATTCGAAATATTAAAATCACTGATCCGATCAAAAATGCCCTTCAGCTGCTTATGCACTTTTATTAGTTGTTTGCCTCAATATGAAAAATGTCGGCTCAAGCATAGCTAGTTAGACCAGAAAGCGGTGCAAATTCTTTCATGGATTCCCAAAAAATTTAGTAGAATCTGTTCACTTATTTTGTTTAGACAAATAGCAGTATTTCAAACTTTTTATATATTCCTTACGTAAAAAGCCTTGTCTCACTTTGGATGTCTTATGTAACAAATTTATTATTTGAATGCTATCACAAATTGTTTCGTTAAAAAAAACATTTGATTCTACAAATCCAACGTGTCCAATACACACCAAAAAGGGTCACTAAAAATAATTATTTAAACTCACTTTTGAAAAACCGATTGGAAGCCCCAGGTGACTTTGACCCAGAGTATTCGGATGGCCCAAGGGTTGAGCTCTTTGGAAGCGAATGTTGAAGTCTCCGTGCGGAAGGTCCCAGTTGGATCCCAAACCGATTTTTGTGTGTTTGGTCATTTTCTTCCACTGACATTATCACTGCCACCTCACTAAAGAAGAGCGTTTACGAAATTTACATTGGTGTTTCATTGTATTATGTAGAACACAAAGTAAATATCTTGACTTAATGTCTACAAATTAAACAGATAGTGCTTGATATTTTCCTTTACTACTTATTGTATTGATCCGAAATAATTGACAATCATTTTACATTTTACAAAAATAAACTCAATTCAAGTTAAGCGCATTATCAGGTCTTCATAGTTAACAGAAATATTTGAGACTGAAGTGTACATCAAAACAATTCCAAATATGCAGTTCAACTATTTGTGTTTGAGTTTGCTATATACTTCGTTACCAGTGACTTAAAACAGTAAAATTAAACATGTCAAATAAAAATCCTACTTTAGCTTTGGTGTTAAAGAAACATGTTAAAAGGGTAGAGAAAAGATAACACTTTGAACGTCGCAATACCACGCATTCAAGAATATCCAAATGCACGAGACAAGTGAGCCACTTTAAGAACACTCGTTGTAAAACCCAAAATGTTTGCGATATATAGGTTAATTGATATAGAACCGTTCATTAAAAGGTCCATTATTTAGAAGCATATTTTGCTTCTGTAGCTCTTTTTACCTAACAGCATAAACAGGGGTTGAAATGACTATAACACGAGAATCTGGCTCATCGCAACCCAAACATATACATTTTAAAAATTATGTATTTGCAGCCTTTAAAGCTTATTTCAAATTACAAAATTAAAAAATAACCATTATTACCATAAGTCAAGTTTGATGTCGAATAATGGAGTAAAAGCACGATTTTGTGTTCAGCAAATATATAAATATTCTTATACTGCGCATTCCTAATTAACTAATGTAAGATAAAATAAAAAACCTACACCAGAGCCTCCAGAGAGTCTGAAACCCCCCAACTTAAACCAGGTAAACAAATCCAGCACTATTCCCAAAAGTTCATGGCCAAATTAGCATTTTGAGAGATATAAACAAGAATAACCTTTGTCCAGGCAAAATTCATGGTTAAAAAGCTGATTCTAAATCAATGTTTTACCACCATGTAAAGCATTTGATTCTATAAAAAATCAAGAAAATAGGGTAAGCTAACTTGTCAATCAATAGTAGGTCTCGACAAAAAATTGCGATAAATTGATATCAAAGGAGTTAATCATTGTGTCACGCTAAAAAAGACAAAAAACGCTAAATACTTATTATTTGTATTTGTAAGCATGTACTCGTGCTCCTAAAATGACAAAAATGACAAACGCGAGAGGACACCATCCACTTTAATATCCTACTGGCAAATTATTGATTGAAGAAATGTCTCTAAGTTCTAAGTTCATTGCAAAAACTTGTGCATTATAACCAAAAAACGCTAAGGGTAAACGCTTTTGACTTGGAATGACTGTTGAATTACGGTCACTCATTATCACCGCTTCAAACTCTGTATGATTGACGATATTATTTTACTGCTCTATTCAATGTTTGTGTAATTATGAAAGTCTCAAATACCTTCAAAGTACGTTTGCAACTACGATGCACTTGACGGTGATTGCATGTACGTCAAGCTTTGATTTTCAATATATTGTAAAATATACGCTCAGTTAAAATGAAATAAAGATATTCGAAGTGTATTAATTCCTAGACGTGTCTTTCGGCATCCGTCATGTCTGCGAAAATCGAAAATAGTCTATGTTTTCTTCTGCTAAATAATGGAACAAGATGATATTAGAATTAATATTTTGTAGCTCTTACTTAACTAATTGTTCCAGTAACTATAAATTTGAACCAACACACTGCAGGTGTCCAACAATAGATACTTAAAATAAGGCAATTTAGTAGCTTCGTGGAATTGACATAACCTTCAAAGAAAAAAATTAAGGGTTGATATTTTATGGCAATTGATTCACTTTGAATGGAATTGGACAGATCTTAACGCACCTTATTTACTGTTTTTTTTTTCAAGGAAGGCATTATGAATAGAAAAGGAAATCCTACACATTGGCAGGATACAAATAAATGTCTACACATATGAGGTAACGAATCAACATTAAAACCTATGAGTTTGACTATAAGAGGAATGTACAGCAGTCAACTTACATCAAGTTTTTGGTTAAATAAATATAAATTCAAATGTAAGAAAATTAATACACGGTCGCTTGTCTATAAAAGGTTTTGCAAGGTACAGGGAATGCCCCTATTTAATGGATGATTAATGTTCTGTGAAAAAACTTAGAATGACTTGTGAATTTTTTATTAGAGCATTTTTGGTTGATATTAATATGACAAATAATATAACATTAATGTTGTACTTTCGCTTGTCATCACTTCATTCATATGCTCTAACCGCTTTAATAAATATGTATATTAATAGTTTATTAACTTTTTTTAGCAAATACATTAATTTAACTTTTTTTTAAAGGGAACTTTGGAATGCCATTTATTTATTAAAACGACCATAATATTAAGGTGTGCCACTTTCAAATTGGTTGGGCCTTGACGTTAAATTAACCGCCTTTCAATTTACATTGCATGCAAGTGATTTTCCTTTTTTATTTAATTCTTAACAGCACCGTTGATATACTGTCATCATTCACTGTGTGAAGCACGTGTATGCTGTCTCTTTTTTGTTTAATTGGCAATAGTTCGGAGCTACTGGTTACTAACGTAGTTTGTAGTGTGCCACGATGATTGTTGATCCCGTACGTTTATCATTTGCTGTGTAGTAAATGCTTCATACTGATGTGTAAAGTGAGCGCTCACAACATTTCCTTTTTTGTGACGCTGTTTGGTTAGAAAACGGCAAATCGTGGCCTTCATGACACACAATTCGTTCAAGTGCTAATCCTACTAATATATGCTTTCTTTGTATTTTCTTTAACATTGTCAATACTTTTTTTGAGTTTTGCGTTTAGTATAGTCAGCATGTTTCTCTTGTGTATGCTCTATCGGTTTTTTCGTATTGTTTTGACAGAATGAGCATCTTCCTTTACTATCAAGTTGTATTTCATGAATCTTCACTTTTAACATTCTAATTTGCTGTTGCTAATGCAGATGTTGGAAATCAGGATAAAAAATAACATTTAAATCTTATTTTCATTTTGAGGCAGATCTTTAGACATTTAGACTTAGTGATCATCGAAATGAAAGTTTTCTCTGGCTCACGATAAGGAGCAGTAATGGCGTGCTTGGCTCATATTCTAAAATTGTCATCGGTATCGAAACAAAAAGTTGTAGTTTATTGTTTATCATGGTGTGAAACGTTACTGTAGTATTCTCCTTTGTGGTAAATATCTCAAAACGGTGGCTTTTTAACCAGAAATTTTCGAGTACCGACGTAATAGCTTTTTACACGAAAGTGTTGTTTGAAGAGGTGGTTTTTTCGATTCTGTTGAATTCATAGATGCTTTATATGTAGGCAAATTAGTTTAATCCTTCATTTCTTTCATTGTACTCTCTATTTTATTGTGCTGTAATTAGATAAAATAGAGAACGTTTCTATTTCAACGCCTCCTCTTATGTGACAAGTTTCTAGGGTGACTTCTGAATCTGTAAGCATACATCACATCCCTATTTCATCAAAACGTGTGCGAAATTTAACTGCTTTGGTAATATGAGTTTGCATACAATTTTATACGGTGGGCGTTGTGAAAACCAAATTTGTTATCGGAGGACGTTAAGCTCATACTCAACCCTCGTTGTCACAAAATATCTAGGACCATTCTTCTTTTATGTTATTGTGATATTTTCCTTCGCTATCTTAAGTGTTTTAGTTTTTTAGATGAGATTAAGACTGCTTACTAATAGCGATAATTTCCGGCAAAACCGAATTTATTGTAGTTGACATTTTTCATTCCTACCATACTTGCAGTAGCTGTCCTAACATATGCGTTTTGAGGTCTATAATTTCATTGCTGCCGCTTAAAAGAGCCGATTATATATGATAAGCACGTTCAACTAACATTTTGGTCCTGGGTTACGCCTCATGTCTTTTGTCGGCCGTAATTTCATTTTCATATAGTCACGCATCATCGGTTCTACATACGGCTCTTTTTCGATTTGTTTAATTTCCTGCTTAAGCTTGAAATAAGGTCGGCCTGAATCCACTGGCCTTACTTTGAATATATTGCCTGGATCGCTTGGGCTACCTTTGTGTGAATCCACTTGACCTACATAACTTTCTGCTATTTTTAGGTATTTTTATAGGCAGGTTCCTGCTGTATGAAACCTTAATCACAATAGAAACAATCAGGGTACTCTTGATGGCATATAAACCCTGTGACCGAATTTTCGCAAAGGTCAAGGGTCACCCTCATTGGCCCGCTCGCGTAAGTATGCCAATATTGGAGACCAGTTTCTTTTTTATAGATTAATATTCTTCCCGAGGATGTAAAGGTGCCCAAGGGAAAGTATCCCATATTCTTTTACGGTACATATGAGGTGTAAGTGCGCTTTACGTCCAAGCCATTGCCGACCTTTAGCTACTTCCTGGCTCCCAAGGATATCTTTCCTTACGAAAAATGGAAGCACAAATATGCGGTCAACAAAAGTCGACCAACATTCCAAAAGGGGCTTCATGAAATAGAGAATAACCCTGACGTTTTACTCTACGGAAAAGTAAGTTCATCTTGCTTTATCTCATGTAAAGTGGACATTTGCCTTTTGTGGCGGTTTTGATACTTCATGTGCAGCTGCCACCTAACCTAAATCCATGTGTCACCGAATTCGCTGAATTTGAGTGTCCATTTACTTTGGCACATCTATGCCGTTTTCGGCCTCATGTTTATAAGTGTTGCTGCTGTAAGGGATATGCCTTGTAGATCAGATCCTATCCTGTTTTTGGATATCGTAGCATGTAATGTGCCAGGCGTCCTTGGGCACACTCTTACGTCTTTTGTCTTCTCAGGATGCCAATGCCGAGAACTTTTTATCACAATTCTATGACTTCAAAAGGTCAACCCAAAATGATCCTCCCTCTGATAAACATCCGCCCGATGCCGAAATTTCCGTCAAAGACGATGACAATGACACTGAAACGAAGCATTCGAGTAACTGTACTTCTCCATCAAAGACCGATTCCGTACCCAAAGAATCCAAGAAACGGCGACTAAGTTCTGACCACGGTAAACGGCCTTTGGTTTAGTTTCAAGTACAGACTTGTTAATGTTGTGGTGGTCTTTGTAGTCTAATATGCTTACTTGAAATTTTGGTGGGTCAACAGATATTTATTGCAAACCAAATGAATTGTTTCGATTATCATAGAAAAGCATTTGGAAAACTGAAATGGTAACAGCCATTAAGTCATATTTGTAGTGGGAAGTAGTGGTTTCGGGGTTCACGTATCTCATTCCAAGGCATCCGTTCTGTCCTAGATTTTGTATTCACACCCATCCATTGCCTTATCGCCGTTTCTTCTTGTAGCATTTCAGCCGCTTTCCAAGCGCAAAACTAAGGAGACCTCACTAGGGTCCGTCGAACCCAAGCCCAGTGAAACCCAGAAAACGTCGCTATCGGTCGAACCAGCCACGCAAACTAAAATGTGAGTGTTGTGCCGTCCTTTGCTGACGCGCATAATTGTGAAATGCGTGCGTGAGATGCTTTTGTACTGTCTTCATTGAATATGACCGTTTTCAGTGAGTATATTTAAATAGACTCTTTACGCCTACCATATCAACTTGAAGTCGTTGTAATTTATTACTTTTGAGGGTTATTTCTGCGGGATTTTAGGGTTGCACGTCGTTATTTACGATAATCTGTCTTGACCAACAAATGGTCACTCAAATTTTTCTTCGGCCAACTCATTTGTACCTTGTGGAGTGTGTCCGTCCAACTTGATTACGGGCCTATATCCAGGGCATGTTGGATTAGCGCTTCGGCTGAAGATAGACACCGTTGTTTCGTGCGCTCCCTTTTTGTCGATTGTTGGCTTCACCGTTTGAGCCTTCGCACTTTGTGCGATGTACGTAGCCCCCACTCGTGAATGTGTGGCTTTGGGGGCTTGTTCGCATGCGTCACCGCTATCAAGTCCCTAATACCGGTGCATTTTGGGTTTCAGGTCTCCTACTGGAACGAGTAGTAATAAACCAGATTCACTTGTGAAATCGAAATCGCCAGAACTTGGAAATGGCGAGGCTAAATTAAGGAAAAGCAGCACCAGTAGTAAAACTTCGTCTTCAACCACAGTAAAAGAAAAATCCTCGACGCCTCAAGCAACCCCAGCAACTACGGCGCTTGGTCGCCCGGTACGCAAATCGGCCAGTCAGTTTTCGGCTAAGAAGCTTTTACAAGGTGGAATGTTGGTTGATGACGACGAGAACTCAAGCGAAGATGTTGACTGGAGTCCTTCAATGGATGCAAGTAGAAAAGACACCACCTCTGACGATGACGTGTCAAAAACGGTAAACATTTGCATCCCGTGAAATTTTTTAACTCAAAGCTAAACCGTAGTAGGTGACTGACAAATAATTTGGGATTCTAGACGGTCGCGTAACCTAAAATCAGGAACAAAACAGCGTGATTGTTCAGAGAAGGCCACTAGCCAAAGCCAATATCAGAATTGGCTTAAGCTTTCACAAAAGTTTATTTGCTGCTTTCAGGTGAAGCAAAACGATGCACTGGAAAAAGACGCCTGATCGGATACGATCGGTTACGACCAGTTACCGTAAATCACTTGCATGTCGTTGGCAAAACCAAAAGGTGTCTAACATGGTCCCAAAACTTTAAATAGATTCTTTATTGCACTTCATAAGCATGGAGCTCTAGTGCAAAATCAGGTGATTCGTTTGGATATCATTAAAGCCATAGTAAACCCTACGTCAGCGTTACCACTTGTAATTTATTTGATCTAAACATCAAATCCGGTTAGCAGCGACGATAATGGTTTGGCTTGTCGCTGTTTTTACTGAGTATACACAGGGTCTCAGTGTTGTAGTCATACGAATAATTATGCTTTGAAATTTACCTCATCACGAATGTCTTTCTCGTACTGGTTTTCCATCTAGGAAGGAATTGATTTTTGTCATATCTGCTAAGTACAATGCGATTATACAGCGCTTTAGTATTTTATCTTCTTTTTTTATTAGTCTACTGTGCTATCAACGAGCCTTGAACCTCCTGCGAGGAAAGCTATTCGAAAGGATTTCAACAAAAAGAGGCTCTCAAAGTCGACGGAGCCTGAGGATTCAAGGCGTCTCCCGTCTTCCTCTTCTGGTGAGGAGTCATCTCTCCATCCTACCGATTCCAATCATAATCTTCACGATAACCAGAAGCACCAAACTACAAACGAGCGTCGGCAACAGCAGAGGCGCATTCGTTCCCCTCCTACACATCAGCAAGATCGATCAAAACCATCGAAGCCTCCCCTCGATGACAAGGCTTCCACTACTTCATCTCAGGTACAAGTTAGGTCAAAATGCGCTCGAAATTATGTCTAGCTCTTTCTAAACAGTCATGTTTTCGGTGCGTCGTTTCCGTTTCTGCTTAAATAAAAAAACTTTTCGCTTAATAAGCCGCTTCTCTTTGGACTAGTTTGTTCGTTACAGGTCTGGTCAGTCTCTGGAGAAAATTTGTAAAAATAATTTGATATTTTGGTTAAAAAAAGAGTAGCGGCATAGTTGTAACTCGTGGAAATTTTATATTGATGAAGCATAATCTTAGGGGCCCATGTGTGATTACCACATACTAGTCATGAAAAGCTAGCGTCAACAGTATCATCGGTTTCTATTTTCGAAGATTAGGTTACTAAGTTTGAATTTCTCAACAGAAAACGCTTCTGAACTTGTGCGCTACGGTGTGAGTTTGTAGTCCTAGAAACCTGAGGCCAATTTAACTTTTTTTGAGGTGATCTTGTTTCCAAACTTACCGATCTGCGTGTCGAATCCGGACCAGAGACACGCCAGTTCAAAAGCTCAACATTGTTTTGTGTCATGAATTTCGTTCGTTGTTCTCTGAATTTGGCTGTATGTCGGCTATGCTAAACCAACTGTGGTTTTGCAGTACGTTGCTTGCTGCTCCTTGAAGTGACAGTCTGTCGTCGAGTCTTGCGTTCAATCGATGCACTGTTGATATGATCAGACAAGGTTTATTTACACGGGTCTGGTAAGCCAAGCATTGAAATTAGTTTTCATGAAACTATGGGAGGTTATGTTGGTAAGGACGAGACCTAATTCACGAAAGTGTCTTTGATTTCGCGATATCCTCTTTATCACTGGCACGACTTTGTCACCATCCTATCCTTGGTGTCAGTTAGGTGTGGTCTGGGTAATGGTCACTCTTATCCGTCAGTTGACTAGTTTATCTATTCAAAGGGGATCTAACTTGCTCTTGCTTTCACTCAGGTTTCTTCAGCCACCTCTGCTAGGAAGCCACGTCTGAGGCCCTCAAAGTAAGGCCAATTTTTTTACTCTGGTGTTTGCTTTCATCGGTCCCTGTTCATTTCCTTGCAAATGATGCAGGTGGTGTCCATTTCAAAAATTAACCCATTCTTTCAGCTGTGTGTTGTAATTCGTCAGCGTTACTTCAACGGCATTCGATATGCATATGCAGTTTTTCGTATTCAGACGTCTGCAGGCAAATTTTGCGTATATGTAACATCTGGCACTATGTTTTCGGCCGATGTGCCACTCGTGTGCAGCATCTAGTTTTTTATATATAATTTAGCGCTTTTTAATTGTTTGTAATGTTGGAATTGTTGGATCCTTATAAACATTATTGATCATTGACCACGCTTTTATCCCTTCTTCCAAAACTTACAAGCATCATTTTTCACATCCCACCACTCCTGTCTTTTTCTAGTGTTTCAATGAGCCCTGAAGAGCTTAGCAACCGACTGGCTAATCGACCCAGCCAACAGAACGGGCAGAAACAACTTAAGGGTTCGATTTTGTGTTTTGATTTTTCCTTAAATTTTCCACGCTCTTCAAACTCAAATGCTCAAATCGTTCAGGCATTATCATTATCATCGTTTCCTACCACCAAAGGTATTTTCAACAAGAATGCTCTGGGGGAAGTTATGTCCAACTATTCTAATATCCTCCAATTCAACTAATTCAGTCTTCTAAGGTTCCGCTTAGTTCTTAGAGATTCATACTGTCGAAGACTATCTGGATGGGGCAGTCTTGTTTCTCTTTTGCCAACCGTTTGAAACGCAGGCTGTTTGTTCCCTGCCATCCAGAGCTAGGAACCGAAGCTCGACTGCACTTTATCGATCGTGCAATCAAAATGAGTCTCATCAGGGGCCAGGAAGACATTCCCACTTGCCTTCAACGTTTGGAGTCACTGGAGAAATTGGAACTCACTCTGCCAGTCCTCGTGAAATGCAATTCCATTGTAGAAACAATCCGCAAGGTAGGCTCAAGGTATTTTAATTTTAATCGACTGCCATTTGATCCTTTGTCAAACCGACAAAATTTTAATTTTATGCGTAGTTTTGTAAACTCGCTTTTACCTCTTTAAATCGTAGCTTCCGTTTGTAATGTTAACGATTGAAGTATCAATCGGGCTTTTTATGCAACTTTTGAAATAAGCCGCGATGTTAATACACGTGCTTCTGTCGTCATCAAATTTCTATCTGTTTCACTTCCATCTTTTTTAATCTCTTAATTGCACTTATATTTTGCGGTTGACTTGAGTAAGTGGCCTGAACCTTGAACTGATGCCAGTGAAAGTAGGGTCGGCTCCTCCGAGCTAAATCCTTGCTTGGCTATTTGAATTCCGTCACTGCATACGCAAGTGTTGCTAACACTCATGATCACCCGAAGACAATGATATGTTGCCGGTTAAATCCACGTTGAAAGTTTTAGGTTGTTGCCAGTACAGCGCCTATCACAGCTACGCGTTCTGGATGTCACCCGAACTTCACCGTAGCTTATTCGCATTCTCATCACCGCCTGTAATTCTGATGTAAAAGGGGCGCTGATGTCAAGAGCTCAGCTCGACATGATTTCAATCATACTGTTTCCCTTATTCTCTTTTTTTGCTCGCACTTGTGTTGCGACTCAGTCATTTGGTGTCATTATGCTTTTGCGCGAGTTGTCTGCTTTTTACCACATTTCGATTCTCGTTTTTGCAGTGTTGTCGGTACAAGCCATCAATGGATGTGAAAATAGCAGCACTAAAAGTTTTCAATCGATTTCTGAAAGTGCAGGAGAATGCATCAAAAGACGAGGTAAGTGTGTGCTTAATACAAATGCAAATAAATCCCTCTGCTACAACTGGTTCGTGTGTGGCTCTGTGCTCACCTTATTAAAAAATCGTTCTTTTCTAGTACTTTAAGTTGGATCTGTTTTGAATTGCCTTTTGTTTTTGAGCGCATTGCTTTAAGTGGTCTGCTTATTTGGCATTTCCTTGTGTCTTCTATTGACGTCTCAGCGTGACAATTGTAAATCACCAAATCAGCACATGTCTGTTCCAATACTGTAGTTTTAAGTTTCGTGAGTTTTGCAATTTTAGATGGAAAAGGCTCATGCAGAACTGATGGAGAACAATAAACGTTTGCAGCCATCAGTTTCTCATCTAGGACCCAAATCCGTGGAAGACCTCTTTCAGTGCGTTCGCCGGCCTTCAGTGGGTGGCGATCAAGCAAAATCCCCTGCTCCTCAACCAACATCTCCCCCACCAACGCAGTCAGCATCGACGTCTTCAGACGTTGCCTCAACAGCTGAGACGTTACCCCAACCACCACCACCACCACCGCTGCCACCACCGACGTCACCATCCGTGTCACCTCCTCATCCAACATCTAGTGACCCCTCACGTCTTTCGCCTCCACGTTGCCCCCTTGATCAATCTTCCATCGGTGTGCATAATACGACCACTTCACCTCAGCCGGAAAATACGGGGTCTGGTGGGTCTGATTCCGAGGGTTTGGCTCCATCGCTTGGTGGTTTGGATGGCGAAGAATCAACGGATAGTGACGAAGAGCCTGTTGCCCCTCTCCTGTCAAAGTCCTCTTACAACCCCTTCAATGTAGAGGCCACCATGGCAGCTGTTAAGCAGGCGTTCCTTCAGAGGACCAGGGACAAAAGTAGTGCAGAGCCTTCAAATGCTAACAAACCACAAACTGCGTCTGAGTCGGATGCTTATGTGCCACAGCCGCTACATTCCTGCTCTGTCCCACTTCCCGCCTACGTTCCTTGCCCCACTTTCCCTCTGTCAGCGTTTATCCCTACCTCAATAGCCGCACCCTCAACGTCGTCTTATCAGGCGCCGCCGCCACCACCTTTCCCTCCATTCGCTGCTGATTTAAGCCGACCACCTCCACCTATGCCACCTCAGGAAGAATTCAGGCACGTTGATTCTCGTGTCTCCCCCGAGATTCGCCGTCGCCCGACAAGACAGCGCGCCCCGAGCCCGCATGCCTTGCCTCATCCATTGGAACACTACCAAAAGTTCTTAAATAACGGAGAGTCCCATCCTCCCCCCTCTATAACCACACGTCCTTTAGTTCAATCGGGGGGTGATGATTTGGACACCCGGATTGCGCGATTGTTAGAGGCTGCGGCTCCACATCTTCAACAACATCAGCAGCCGCCTTCTGCCATTTTATCACCCCCACCGCCCCCACCTCCTCTGCCGCCATCACAGAATCTTATTTTAGCCCACAGACCGCAGCCCAACGTCCTTGCAGAGCCACCTGCATATACCCCTGACTCCCCTGTGCAAGATGGCATCAATGGTGGGCAGGACTTCGACCCACTCAACGTGTGGCCTCCGCAGCGGGGTCGAGGAGGCGAAGACGTGTACAAAACACTGGACATTTAGACAAGGACTGTTGGTGTAGTCAGTTTGTATCATAAAGGAGATTTAGAATTCTCGCCTTTACTTGAATTAGCGAGGTTCGTGCACAAACAAATTACTCATATTCTTATTATTAATAAAGGTTTATACCATTTTGTATGGGATTGGTACATTCCGAACAAGTGCGGTCTTATGGGTGCCTCCACTAAGGGTGTGGTCTGGTGTTTTCGCTCTCCCCGACTTTTTCGCTTTTTTTTCGTAATTTGCAAAAGCTTTGTAAGTTATTAAGGTGATTTGAATTGCACGTAGTACGTGCCCCAATTCGCCCAGATGCTCAGTTCTTTCGCTCTGGCTGGCTCACGATTCGCATGAATGTCGTGTCAACTTTGCGATATTTGCAGGTAAGGACTCAGTTCATGTGGCAAGGGGCGGTCCCGTGGATAGCCCAATTTTTGTGACTTACATGAGTTAACGGAGCGTTGTTTTAACGTATTTTAGAATGGCTACTGCTCGTCCACTTTCCAGTCAGTACCATGTTGTGTTCGAGCGTCCTTAAACGCGTAACATATCTATTCATTTGTAGTTGCACTTGGAAGATTCACTGTACCTTGTTGCCAAGTAAACTCGGCAGGTTTTGCATCAATCGATTCGGTATTGAGCGCGTGAGATGCATCGTTCTGAAGTGTTTGTCTTTGCTAGTGACGGGGTCAGAGTGCTTTGAAAGAGACGCTGAGTGAGGCAGAGGTGAGTGCTGCGACCTGATCGTGAAGAGTAGAACAGTGGGTGTGTGAAGGGTACCAGATTAGAGGCTCTGGAGGAGTTGAGGTGTTAACTTGTTGCTGTGATGCTCCGGATGTGGTAGAAATGGATTGGTGGGTGGATTAGTTCGTAAACTGATTCTTTTATCTGGCAAGCAAAGGTATACCTCAAGCCTTGCGTAAGCTCTTTCAAAATTCTTTTGTGATGCCTGCGCTGCTGTTTTTTGTAAAGCCGTAGTGCAACTCTAATGTCTATTTGTTTCTTAAATTTAGCCGCACAGTTGTGTTTTTTGGATGCATAACCGCCTGAATTGTTAGGAGGGTTGGTTTGGAAAACGCATCGTTGATCTGTGCGCAATCTACTTAACGCCTTGGTTGTGGATTTGGGTGGTGGCCATGGCAACCGTGTTGTCAGGCTGTCCGCACCCAGCCAGCCGATAGTGCTAACACAATGGCTGCTCTTATGATTATTTTGAACATTGCCTAGTCACACATGGTAATTTCCTATACTGATTGAAATTGCGATCATGACAACTAAACTATCAATGAACGCAATCTGTGTCCTTATTTTCACGTCATATCAATGTTAACGTAATGAGTAAATAATAGGTAGCAGTAAGAACAATTCACCCTCATGAATTATAAGGGATATAAACGGAAACGAGACGAAGTATAGGATGTGAGCAATGTTTGGATTTTAACGCCTTAAAAACCCTCAATGGGCAATATTCGTTAGGGGGTTTGTTTGACTTTCGCAAGCTAACAGGACATGTATCCTGTGGTGCCTCTACCCATCTACAACATAAAACTAGATGTAGTGTTTGTGGGTATACTGAGAATCCTAGTATGTGCCCACAAACCTCTTTCAACTCCAACGTATGTATATCGGATCTTGTGGACGTCCTTTTGTGCTCTATTTCGTAAGTTTGTAGGTGGTGGCGTAATTCCAATCGTTGATTTTCAAATTGTTGTTATGTAAGTTCTTTTCACTAAACTTGGCAATAGCTAGTCAAGTTTCGTTTAGCCCTACTTTGTGCGGCCCTGTGGTAAATCGAGCTCACTGTTCTGCCTTCCCGCATCCACTTGCACACCACCTTCCGAATTCGACAGCGCCTAAGTGCAGTGTTGGGTGCGATTGCCTCTGAGGCAGCATTCACCACCTCAAGCAAATTGCTTCATTGAAGAGGATGATGTTAAAGTGCCATTTCGACAGGTACCTACTTGTACTGAAGACGGTATGAGCGCTGGTCTCTTGCCCATTCGCACCCAATTCCTGTCTGCTCTTCACTTCGGTTCCGATTTCTCTCCACGTTCAGCCATCACCGACTGTCCACTTCCAAACTCGAAGCCTCACGGGCGTTCGTTCCTTTTCAAACACGCTTGATGGCCTTTTGTTAACATGGGTCATGTTAAGTGATTTCGTTCACTGATCCCGGTTAATCTATGCATCTGGGTGCTTCGGTGTTAATTGATCTGCTCGTGTGCAGCCTAGACAATTACCACGGTGTGATGTTTTCATGAAAGCATAGGTAACTGACAAAAGTGTGGGTCATTTTATTGGAAACAGTAGATAAAGTATGGCGTTAAAAGCGGTCAATAAGAATAGAGATGAGTGAGTCAGCAATTTGGCACTTGACACCCGCGCCGCTGCTGTCGCTCTCCGTGCCGTTGTGAGGCGCAGGAGCCGCCTTTTGCTCGAGGTCCGAGTCAGCCGTGGCCTTGCGCCACTGCCGCAGCAAATGCTGTTCGGCCTCTGCGTCGGAGGCGGACGTGGAGCCGTCGGATTGCGTTGACGCATGCATCACGCTGAGGTTCCAGGCTCCTCCGTTCTCGGCGTTCCCACAATGTTTGTGGAAACGCGGCATTGTCAAGGTAGCAGGTTTCTGAAATCGCATGCCACGGGGACCACACATCACCAGTGGGCTGACTAGATGCGACTTTTTGGAGGACTCGTTGGTGCTTCCGCTGCTCACCGCGTTCCCGCGATTGTCTCCCTCATAGACCTGCCGAAAAAGGGGCATGTAAAATCAGTTCGATTGCATTTATACTGATGCAACACCTTCTAAGATCATATTCAGGCGCTGCTTGCCTCGAAAAGCCTCAATTTTCTGAAAAGTGCATCGGAAAGCAGGATGCGAGTTTCCGTACTTCATAGATAAGCACAAGGGTTAGAACTAGACGTTAATATACTGGGGATTTTCTTTCGAGAAAATCCCTTTGAAATGGTTTGCAGTTCATTTAACAGAGACCGGACCAATTGAAGGCGTTTGTTCTAATTAGAGCAGCCTACCAATTTTCTTTGTTAATCCTTTCATTGTTACAAAGATCACGCTTATCTTAAGTAGAAACCGTTAACGCGGTTAAACACCCCCCTCCCGTCTCATATACCAACGAAAACTTGGTATTTTCTAGTGCAATCAGACCACATTTGTTATCACGTGAATGTGCCAGCGGGCATACCAGACTGTTTGATGTGCTGTGATCTCACCGGCGCACTGCGCGCCGCTGCGCTACAAAGGCTCCCCTGTCAAGTGCGCGGGGCCGGGAAACAATGACACCGGCAGTGAATGACCGTGGCGTCAAATCGCTCATTTTACTCAATATTTCAGTAGGGAGTCCGCTCCTTTCATTTTTGAGTAACGAAAAACGTACCAATTAAATCATCTCTTACTTGGAAATGTCATGTACTTGACAAGGAAATGACGTTGTCTTTGTGTTATAACGTTGAAAACGGTTCTATTTTTAACGCTACTTTTGAATTAAACGCTTAAGAACCATTGAGAGTGAGAACAAGTCTTACGGGAAGTACTCCACCTATCTAATGCTCAAAATGCGGCGTGTAATCTAGCTCCATCCGCACGCTTACAGCCAAAGAACGCGACTTTTCGAGATGGGTTCAGATTTGCATTACTATTGGCTCACGCATCTTGATTTTAATCTTCCATGCCAAGATCGAAAATAGTTGGAGCAGCGACGTTATACAGGTTACTAGCCCATTTGATGATTACAGAAATTCGTGTCCGATCCGAAAATCAAATTTAACGCAATAAATCATATTTTTAATCAATGATGCACTCGTCATTTATTCCTAAAACTCTCTTGATGTATTCTTTTTTTAATTTCCTCTGTGTAAAATCTGTGTGACTCCTCCTCACAAACGCCTTCAAACCAACAGATAAAAAAGTAAGCATTTAATGTTTTATTAAAACTCGCAAATCAGTGATAAGCCTGGCTTATGCATTAAGGTGTTATTGTGATGACGTCCGTTTCTACAAGCTTTTTGAAATTGTGCCTTTCTTGAAACAGTGGCTCAGATGATTTTCACAAACCCACCCGTAAGTAAATCTCCTGCTTCTGGTCCTTTTCCTCATCTGGAAGAGCTCCAGGTGGAATGAAGAGTGTCACGCCATGTTGGGGTAGTTCTAGTTTCCCGCCTTCTGCAGCGGTGAATTCGCCACTGACCTCGGCCACAACTTCCTGCGGCTCCGAGATGAGTCCACAGGGCGCGTTTCGCCCCGACAGCGCGCGATGTCGCCGCGCCGAAGTGGGGGTCACTTCGTTCGCCTTGGCGCCCGATTCACGCCCACCCAAGAGCTCGGCGTCAATGCACGTCTCGATCATTCGGGGCGAATTTGTCTGTGCTGACCTGGTTTCAGATCTGAAAGCCAATAATCGATCGGCTACAAGGATTCGAAACAGCTCCTCGATTCGACATGCATCAGCCGTAAAAGTGGCCTGGTATCGATCCCCGTGCGAGGATTGCATCTGACTCACGCACGAAGCAGGTGCCTTTTTCTCTAACTTGATGATGATGCTTGGTGGTGCATTTAAACTGCTCCATTCTGGCCTGGTTTTCTACTTGCCAAGTGTTTTCTACTAAAGTCGAGTCACCAAAGTTCGGTATTTAAAAAGTCACGCCTATCACATTCTTAACGAAGAATTTGTGACTCGAAAAGAAGGTTGAGGTCTGGGGTTGGACTTAGTCAACCCTGTTGTCACTGTAATCGACTTAATGAAAACTCAAATGGTTCGTGTTAGTTTCAGTTTTTCGAGCACGTTTTTCTGAGCCATTATACGAGCATCAAGAATTCTGTTGTCTTCGTGGTCTGAGAATGAGCGTTTTCGGTATATGAACTTTATTTCTCAGGAACGTAAATTTCTAACATTACGTCAGAAGCAGCTGGTGAATCTAGGTTTATATCAAAATTACAACATCCTGCCACATTTGCGTTTTAAATGACTAAAGGAAACAGAAAATCTGATTTTAGTCTGGGCTTCCAACGCTTGGTCATCTCTTCAAGTAGCTGGTCTCTTAAGTGTTAACCCAAATTTGTTTATAAAATTGCAGTGGAAGGGTACATTGTGTTAAGTGAAGAGTCGCAAGGTGTATGGCACTACGAGGATGAGAAACCCGTCAGATTGCATTAGCGCTAAATGTCTCGGTTAGTACCATTCTGCAGAGTAAAATTTATTTTCAGTAAAACTGATAGTCACGACAGCAGTACATTTTAATCAATGACCTACAGGCAAAACCACATTCTACTATTTGTATGCAAGTAAAAAGGTTTATTTAGACTTGCCTTGGCGACTGAATCCGAACGCGGCGCATATTCTGGTTTCGCACCGTAACCCTGTCGTGTGAGTATGATGATCTTGCATCTAGCTTGTCTGTCACCAATTCTAGTCGGTCAAGCATATTCCATTCGTCCATTGCCCTGCCTAAAGATGAATTGACTTCGCGGCAAAGAGTGTTTAGTGCAAGGCGAGCGTCATCTGTGGCATCTGTAGAAAATGAGGAAGCAAATATTAATTTGGACCTAATATGAGTACTCTACATGTTTTTCTTATAAAATAACCTCGTGAAGTTTGTTAATAGTTACATCACTCAAAATCGGTTAGCACCGTGGCCAAAAATCACGCTTCTATTGGGAGTTTAATGGGGGGGGGGTGGCTAATAAGGAAAGCTCTAACTTCGTGAGTGCGGAGCGACATGGCTGAGCGAAATTCGCGAGCCCGAATGCGATCTAAAAGGCCAATAAGTGAGCTGAATGGATGGGCGGACCCCACGAGTGCCTTGCCTCTATTTCGTGCCTGGCCGGCCCGCCACTCATTAGTCAATCGGCCCGTGAGTCATCGCTCGTTTAAACGCGGTGCACCAGTAATGAGCCGCCGGGGCTACACAGATTGTCACCGAATAACTTCCAGGGAAGTGGCCAATTAGGATCGACTCCTACAATCGGCATTCTCACCACTCTCCGGCCTTAAATGTCATAGCAACCTCATCCAAACCCATTTATTCACAAATAATGGCAGTCTTTTGCACAATACTACTTACAGCAAGCAGGCATCAGCCATCAAGCGCTTACACTACTCTGGCAGAGTCAAGTTGGGTACAGAACTGGAAATTGTCAACAGACATGTGCTTTATTAATTTGTGTTTTGCAATACACAATGACCACAAATATTCTACTACTAGAAGCGTTGCCAGTGAAGTGATTTCGGTATCGCGTTTCGATGGCTAGAGATAACTCCCTGTGGCAAAATAAGAAAACAAGTTGATTGAAGAACAACATTCATTGTAAACAGATTTGAAATTATGACAGTGAGTAAAAATTTCAAGGAAAAATGGAGGATAAGAAAAAGACTTGTATTAGAACTAACCATGTCGAGGTAGACGGTGGGCAAGGGTAATATATTTCGGTTTGTGGTGCATGCAGAAACTTATTTGAAGTTCCTCAAGTCTGAAAAGTCTGGTTTTATATGATTTTCCAAAATAAAAATTCGACCTTTTGTGATTGCAGAAGTTTGTGTTCAAGGTGAAGCAAAATCAAGTACAGGACACTTTTATGACAATTAGTATTTGTACACCAATGATCCACTCCTTATGATCGTCCGTGGAAATCTCTTAACTGATTACATGCTGTTGAATTACTTCTTTGTGAAAACAGAGGGATTTCTAGTCATAAACGTCCTAGGGTCGTGTACGAGTTCTCTCATATAATTATACCTTGCCACCTTAAGGATTTTGCTGACAACGAAACAGGTGAAAATCTGAAGGGACAAGCTCAGGGGAGTGCGAACGGTGCTGGTCTATGATTTCCATTTTAGCTCCCTGAGTTTATGCCAAGTCTGTTCAGCGATACACGGTCAAACTTTGTTACGGTCAAAGGTGTGTTAGTGCTCCATGATTCCCCAAGATTGCTCGTCGTTGGTTTCTGGCACAATTTACACGAATTCATTAGCATGTGTTTTATTATGCTTTTTATCAAGTCAAGATCAACCCTGACTTGAATCAGTTTAACTTTTGACTACTCACTGCGCATGAGGCTGACGTGATTAAAGCTCTCTACACGAACTCTGGTCTTGTTCTTGTATTAGCGTGAGAAGGTCGGTTCTAGCGTCAGCAAGGGATCAGGTACCGTTATTTGAGTGATTTCCACTTTGTTACGGGCAATCCCAACAGGGTGATGCCTATACAACAATGGGTTGGGTCAACTGTTAACAGAACATCTTAGCAATTGATTGTTTGACCAGGGGGAAGAAGCTCTTGAAATCCCCTAACCAGGTGTAAAATGACACCATCAATGACAGCAGTTCATCATATGCCTGTGATTTTGCTCTTTTCTTAGTACATTTTAATGCACAGACCATGTTTTATCTTAAGTTACGACTTGAACCGGGTGATGTTCGTTTTGTTGACGGACGAGATGGGAAATGGCTGTAGAAATTCGGTTTGCGGAATCTACGATGATTTGACTGGTGAACGCCAGTCGAATTGCACACAGTTATTATCGCAAAAACTCCTTTTGCAGTTGACGCTAAAGTATTATTCACTAAATCAGAGATAATGCCATTCTCGATGTCGCAAGGTGGCCAAAAATAAATTTTTTATCGTCGCAGTTCCAATACTTCTTCTTTGACTCATTTAACAACATGACGGAAATGCAACTTTTCCTTTTCAAATATCAACCCCGAGCACAAATTAACATCCACAAACTTTTCCTTATGGTCATGTTGACTCGCTGTACATTTAGAAAAGTTTTAGCTAATAATTCGATGATAAAACAAACATTTGTGCTGGCGAAATTGCATGTTTCTACCACCGACGAAAATCGGGCTCCAACTTTTGCAATCACCGAATTTAAAAGTTTGGCATTAAGAAGCATGGCCCTACTAAAACAACGTTGCTTTTCATGTTTCGACATACTGAGGGTCAGTAAACTAATTTTGGACAGCTAGTAACTTGCTCTGGTGTCCGAGGCACAGTTGCTTGAACGACAGTTGCCAGTGCTGCCTAATGATTTCCAAGTAGTTCGCTTCCACTGCATTCAAACCCTATTGTTACTTTGGAGTGCCAAAATTCTTACCGTGTTCACTCTTGTCGGATGAAGCCACTTCAACCGTTAACTTGGAATTTTCCTTAGGTGAAGCCATCGGCGTCAGGGTACCTTCATTTGCCTTGCTAAATGCCACCGAGTCCTCCGCAACCCAAACCTAAAAGAAGAACGCACCAAAGGCTGCGTGTAAAAAGAGATTCAACGCATTTCAGAACGAACCAGTTTTCGAGGTGAGTGAAATGCTTGACTGCTGAAATTGTTCTGTAAGTCATTAAAATCCGTTTAACTCCGGTGTTAACAGAAAATCCTAACTCCTAAGATGGTTGCATTTCAAGAATAAACAACTGATATTTGTACGAATGCATAAAAGATAAGGCCAGTGGCGTTTGGAAAGTAGTAATATGCTACTAAATTGTTGGAATGTTACGACTACACGTAATTTATCTTCAAGTATGCTGCTTTCAACTCGGGTGGATGTAAATTGCCAAGTTTTTGATTTTCACCTACATTTATTTAAAAAATAATGCATCTTGTCTTCAATAATACCTGCGTACTGTTTGGATTTCAACATTCTTCCAATGACTGTCAGGTATGACGAATAAATTACCACTTGAATGCAATGCCATCCCACCGAAAACATTACGCATGTCATTAGCGTGCTGATTTCAATATTATTAAGTAGTAACAATTAAGCGCGGAATACGAAATTTCCACGAGAACTACTTTTCTCTTCTATCCAACTTAGTCTAGCACTTCGTGTATGCTTTTATTACTTGGGTTTTCAAGTAGCAAACAGTTTGTAATGAATAAAAAGAGCTTGAGGCCCCCAAAGTAATCAATAACGTACATTACCTGTCATTATTCAGCTTCGGAGATTCAGCGGTTTTCTAGTTCACGTAATTCAGGTTAAGCCATGATCGATTAATATTTACAATTTTAAAGCAGTTGTAGGTGCAAAAGTCGTGGACTCCAGTAAGCATGGCGTTTGAGATTTTAGAAACCCAATTTCCTTGCTCAGCGATGTCTGAGGAAAAATAACCAAGACGTACCGGTTGACTCTGATGATACCGAATGACGGATATCAAGTTATGCATCCACTCGACCTCATCAAACCGCATTTGCAGTGGTGAGTTGAGAAGCGGAACCGTGTCCGTTAACAAGTGGGGTATGTTTTGTCGCAAGTCGGTCAGCTCCGTCCAAAGCCGTCGACTCAGTTCTTTCGTGCCTCCGTGACATCGAGGTTTGTAGAGTTCAAGTGCAGCGCGGATCTGCTGGGCGTTGTTTGTGGTCGAAAGGAGAACTATTGGGGCAATTCCGTTTTGAATCAAGCCCTCGATTGCGGAAGGTCGCAAGTTGAGCACTGGGTGCTTGCCTTTTTCCATTACCATCTGCTTACGCAAAATAAATGTAGAAGAAATTACCAGTGATACGGACGATGATTGGTAGCACAAGTTTGAAATTGTATTAAACACAATCCGTTGCTGTCTACTCTCCTTGAAATAACACTTGAGAAAGGTATGATCAACTTTTGTAGAGGCTCTGGTGTGCATCTTGAACCACACCGGGGAAACTAGATAGTTTCTGGCCGGCTACGTTGCGTAGATACCCGAAAATAGCAAGAAGATTAGGAGCAACCGAGGCAACATTTCATTCAACGACTCAAACAAGTTGTATTGTTTTGTGGGTATTGAGTTGTTAGACCTACCGAGTCGTACATACTTATGCGTCGCAGATTTGTGCAGGAGGGACATGACTAATCGTGAGTTGAAAGCCAATGACTTCCGCGTGAACCAGTTAAAGTCCAAGCATTTGAGTGATAGGATTGGTGATAAATGGCAGAGGAATGCATGATAAGACGTGTTCTGAGACATGAGGACTCTATGACACGCGGAAAGGTAACATACCAGGTTGTCTAGACATGGTTTAACAGAGATAATGGTCGTGTGTTGACACAATTCACTGTATTTTCTGCTTTCCAATGCATATATTCCTACTCTTATTCACGGGTTAAAAAGTAATCCATATTACTGCTTATAAGAGGAAAATATAAGTGTGGAGGTTCTATAAAATGCGAATTTCAATTAAATTCTCCTCCCTCGAAAACAAATGCAAATTTGGTGTTGAATTTAACTGAAGGTCGAGCAAATGTTTATTGACGAAGGTCAGATGTACAATGCTTTGCAGTGGTGAGGAGCTTCAACTGATAAGTGTCTGCCACCTTCACAATAACCTAACTCAGCACGTGACATTCTGAAAATGGCTTCTGCTTGTCAGCCCGATGTGTTTGAATTTCGTGAGTTTCCGCAGAACAGCTAAATTGTATTCTCGGAATTCACGGGCCACCTTTTCGAAACACCTTTTTTATGAAGTAACATACACTACGCCTTTAGTGGATTCATTAACCCGCTTTATTCATTACCTGCGGTTTGACATGGTTGGTTTTTTAGCTTTCTATGTTACTCACTCCATCAAACTCAGATAATGTGAAATTATGACTAATATGCATTGATGGCTACAAGAAACAAGAAAGCTCTGTACAATTTGTGAAGTCCCTTAACTCTTGATGTATGTCTCCCACGCTCCTTTACTAACGTCAACTCATTTCACTTGATTACAGACATAAATTTGCTAGCATGTGATGGGGTCCGGGGAGATTAACACTTGAAAATATGCATTAATGGTAAATTTCTCTTACATTTCATAGCCTTATGCACTAAAGCTAAACCTGATTAGCTGTGACATAGGCCATTATGTTTTTTGTTAGCATGCGAATTAGGCAGACCGCGTTAGCAATAAAAGTACTGATTGATTAGCAAACATACAGAAATTATCAGTAAATTAACCACCGCGTCAAAGGATCTTGATAATACCTAAATCAGCTAAAATGATCCAGGAGGAACATAGTAAGGTACCCAAAGTTCGGCGCTTAATACAGGTGTGCTTCCTTGGCCAAAACCTTGTCAGGAGGCCTTTATGGCCTTGTAATAAAAAACCGCTTTTAGTGTCATTGAAGTGAATTGTTGGTAAACTCGGGTGATCAATACTTATCCTTAAGGTGGCCTTGCAAGTAGGAAAACCCAACATTGAAAGGCCTTAATGGTGATTTTAGTCAGTTTAAAACATTTATTTATGGATGACTTAAATGACTCGAGTTTGTAGGAAGTAACGACTTTTACGAAAACCAGTAAAAGATTAGGAGGGACACTGAAGTAATTTGCAAAGATATTGCATATATGTAAAATCTGGTGAACTGGGGTGTAATTCCATTTGTCAGGTCGCTGCAACGGCCTCGTGAATGGCTCAGTTCAATCAGTGCTGATGAGTTTTCAGCGATTCGCCCACTATGGTGCATATGGGACAGATTGCACTGTTGTGATTGTCTTTGCTAGTGACGGGGCCAGAGTGCTTTGAGGAGTGGTCAATTAACCTATGTTTAGGGGACACTGAGTAAGGCAGAGGTGAGTGCTGCGAGTGGCGTGGGGAGGTGTGCGACATGAAACCTCTCCCCTTCGTCGTCTCCACTCGCGTTGCCCCTCACGCGGGTTATGCCATTTTTGAAATGGGAATCTCCTGCATCCCTTGGTGCAGACCTGATCGTGACGAGTAGAAAAGTGGGTGTTGAAGGGTACCAGATTAGAGACTCTGGAGGAGTTGAGACGTAAACTTATTGCTGTGATGCTCCGGATGTGGTAGAAATGGATTGGTGGGGCTTAATTTTGGCTGACTTTGAATTGGCAAACTGATTATTTGGTCTGATGAGCAATGGTATACTTCAGACATTATGGAACAATTAAACTGCCTTGCTACTTAATATGCGTGTTGCCAAGTGGATCGATTACCTCTAGACTTGGAGTTCCAACTGGCCTAAACGTGTCGCAATTCTAATAGGCGACTCTAAATCTATTCCACACCCGTTTCGAACTTTATTCTGGAATGAAAATGCAAATGCGGAAAGTCTAACAGCTAATTTAACTGCCTGTGCTTAACAACGCTGACAAATAAAGTGGAAATGACTTTTACAACGATTTTAATGTTTTTGCCTATTACAGGCAAACGTTTTACGTTGATTTACTGTTGTGTTGTAGGTAAAACGCCCTTTTAACTGAAAATCGGCATCTCATTAATTGATAGTTTCATTGGATCTCTTGACAGTTTGCCGCTATTCAGATTGATTCGGCAGAAAATGTTGCGTAGTTGATGGCCGACTTTTGCCTTAATCGCTATTTCTTCATGCACCTTCTGATGTGTCTGTCAGGGAACCGCTGCAGTCCCTTCCTCTGAGTAATTATGATTTTCTGTTCAAATATTTTTTCTTCCTTTACAATTATGAAGCATCAGACATTAATACAACGAGCATGTCTACCTTAAATTTGCTTGCGTTTTAAAAGCGAAAAAGCTTTTACCCAAATTTGCACAATTCCTCTGGATATTTTGTCGCTACTAACAACAAGCAAGTGAAAAACTGTAATGCGTTTTAACATGTAGCAACAATCAGTTTCTTAAGTTCGTCTTTCTTTTACAAATCTATGATCAACGTTTTCTTTGAGCTACTTTCAGGTATTACCATAGTTTCACAAGACATCAAACTCCACCCACCAACTATTACTGATACTTCAAGGCCTATTCCCTTCAAGACCGTAGTAATCAAATGAAAAACCGCATTATGTCCACAGCTATTTCACTTTCGATTTATAGACTTTCATCCGGAATTTAGAGGTTCTTAACTCTCGCCTCAATTGGCCCCCATTCTGTTAAGGTCGACTAGATCACTTCCCTTCAATGACTCATAATTGTTCGATCTAATTTGCATTGTAGAGCTCCTGCCAAACCTTCGACTGAGAAGAGAACCTTAATATCACACTGTCTCCCTACTGTCATCAGGCTCAAACCGCCTCGGTGTCATAATGGCCTAATCCAGTCCTGTTCTGACCCATCGCGCACTACTTCGACCAACGTTTCAGAAGCACTTCGGAAAAAGACGTCGCATCGTCGTCATCAACTGCGCGAGACTGTCCTTATGCAATGGAAAATGGCCACCTATCTTCAGACCAAGGTTCAAAACGAAGTTACCTTCTGAACTGTACAAAGAAAAAGGTTTGTTGCATCCTTTCGCGTAAGGGAGAGCTGTGATGAATATTGTTAATTCATGACCGCTACCATGGTTCAGGGGGGACTGGTCTCCTTTTGTCTTCACTTCTCTGGATCCTCCTAACAGTCACCCATTATTCCCCACTGTGAACCGTCTCACTTTTTGCATGTTGAAATAAACATCTAGAAGCCCCACCGACAACCCATGTAAACACTTATAAATACTCGTGAACAGCCATGGCACTGCACACCCAACTTCGGCAGTCCAAAAAGGTGCAGCCTCCGTACCTACGGTCAGTTCCACTGTTAATCTCGTCTTAATAATTCATCCAACAAAAACCGAGTGAAAAGAATCATCATAAGCTGTTGAAATCTTACTTAACTACCTTAAACATGCTATTGAAAGCTCAAACAAATTCATGATAATAATTAGAGAATTAGGAAGTTTCTGAGATATTCAGATATAAGAAAAGAAGTACTGTTTTCTCTGATACTTAACCGCTGCGTTGTTATCAAACATAAATGCGGTTGTTGTGAGTCGTGTTTATTCAACCCCCTAATCCGGTCGCTCCACCTCCTACACAGGGTTCCCCTTTTTCGCACCATGGCGCCAGACGCGCTAACCCTCAACTCCCCCTTCATTAACACGAATATTTATCTTAGATTATCCCCACACATAGGTCTCGATGTTAGCGCATGTATGACTCACACATCTGAGCTATAAATACGCGCAAACCCCACAGGCCCCAACACCTTCGTCAAATTCTCGAATAAACGGTTGACTCTCTGTCCTTCCACCGACTTCAGCTTTGTTGGGCAGTTAATGAGATATGGCGTCTCAACACGGTCCTTCCATGAGTGGCTCAATGACTGTCACGGTAACCATACAACGACATCTCCAAATAACGACAGAACAAGTGAAAGAAACTCGATTGAGCATGCATTTCGCTAGGGACAATTTTCATACCCTTGGGAGTTATTCAGATCACGACATCTGGATTTATTGGTGGAAATTACCCAGTGGCTTCTACGTACAGTAAGTTTTTTTATAACTCAAAACTCGAACTTCTGCAGGAGGTGAAACGTTTCTCGTGGCCGCATCAAGTGGTCTCAGCATCAATGCATCTAATGTGTAAGCCTCAGATGAAGAAAGAATGTGTCAATAACACCTTCAGATTAACGCTTTTGTAAAACGGAATTGAAAATCAACAGAATGGCTCAAAAATTATGACATTCCAATTCTTGTAAATAATGTAGGTGAGAACTGAACATGGGAACTCCGTGTCGGGCTGATGCAAACACAATATCCAGTTATTTACTTAATATTTTGAATTGTGTTTATTACCATTTTGTATTTTATCATGTTTTCAGATGTCAAGTTGCCTAATTTATGTCTAATTCAACAGGCGATGGGTTTGCGATTATTTTACTAATCACAAATTTTCCATTGTAAATGAAAATCTTATACGCCGACATTGACAGCAACTTGATATGAATAATTAAACCTATAGGAATGTTGCTGAATATATTAGAGCTGAGTCGAAAAACACATGAAAAAGTTACAGCGCTTCGTGATAACCTCAAAATGTTCTAAGCCATAATCGTGTTTTTTCAACAAGTAATGTATTGTGTAGGTAGGTTAAATGTGCAATCTTCATTTACTGAGTTTAGTTCTTCTAGTTTCTTACTCCATCGTAACACTGGGGTCAGGGGTAACATTGAATACCGAACAAAGCAAGCATCGGTTAATAGAAAGAGGTCAAGTGATCGGCACTTTACCTGAATGGCGCTAAGCCTTATTACACCGGGGCACTGTGGATAGAGGTGGGCAGACCACGCCTCGTCCGGCTGCGGTTGAGTCCCTGAGATCGGTGGCACCTCGAAACGCGCCTCCTCGTCGCCGCCCTCGATTGTAGAGACCTCTTCGACAAGAAGGCGCATCGCCTTGTCGGCGAGGGGACCGTAAATAATTACTGGTCTAGGATAGGGATAGCGGTCTAGTCGACCAACTCGGAGGTATGGGCTTGCCACTTCTGCCGAGTGCTAGCAAAGAAATCGGAAAAGCATATGTAACTCGATGTCAAGGGTTAGAGAATGTATGATAAACGGCAGCTTAGTCTGATGTCCATGAGCGTGATTTTTGAGCAGCACATTTCAACGTAACCAATTTCAAGAAATTTTTAAAATCGTGCTGTTTTAGTGCCAAACCCAGAACTCTTGAAAACTTTCAGGTGCTATTTTTTAATTACCTGTATACCATTTCAGGGGAATAATAGAATTTGTTTTTTAATCCATCGACAACCTCCAATTTGTATTACTCATTTGCAAAGTTGAACTGAACGTACCGATGAGACTCTTAGGCAGTTTGAAAAATCTTTTGAGTAATTTGCATGAACAAAACGGGATGAATTTGGGTTTGCTTTTTGTTTCATAAATGGAAAAAAGCAGTCTTCAAAATATCCGCCTATTTACATTTGTAATCTATATATACTAATATATTAATAATAACCCCGATGAGAAGACGTTTTTATTGCGTACGGACCACGATCACTAAGTCCTTAGAAACTCACCAAAGTAGGAATTTGCGTCTTCAGAAGCTGAATGGCCTTTTCACTACTTGGAATGCTTCCGAATGGCGATGCAACTGGCGCAACTTTCCTAGCCTGAAATTAAAGCATTAGCTCAGATTACCATTTTACAAATCAAACGAAAAGACGAAGTAACCTTAAGAAACAAGTTTGAGTGTATGAGCATTATGCAAACCTCAAGTAGCTTACCAACCATGATGTGAATGAACCCGCAAGCAGACTGTCCGTTACGTGGAAAATGTCCCCGTGGGAGATTTTCAATGCGGGTATGGACACTGCAGGGTCTATGGTCTGCATGCTACTTTCATTCACAATATTTGGGATGTAATTGAAAGCGGCTCTAACGTGGAAGTCATCTCCAGGTCCGAGTTTATCACTCATGAATGCTTCATATTTGTCAGGAGCATGTTTCACCTGCATTTGAAGCAAGTTATGAGAACGTAGAATCCGCAAGGCTGCTTCGGCTTTGGTCATCAGTTGCACGGGCTCACCGCTTATCTAAAGTAGAAACCGAGGCAATTTCGATATCCAAATTAACACGAATATCACTAGCCTTTACTGTCATGCAGCATTCAAGAAAAGATGACAGATGTTTTGGTACTAACTTGTTTTTTGCTGATCTCCTAAACCAATTTCTTCCTTAACAAAATATTTAATATTTCTGCATAACTTTACACGCAAATTTGACCTAAACAAGATAGTCTTGATATTGGGTTCACATTTCCTGTGCCTACACTGAGTTATCGAAAGGATAAGGCCCAATTGTCAGATAGCATTTAGTATAAACAGCCGAATTTCAAGCCTGCTCTAGATAACAGACGGCTCTGAAACACGTGAAGGCGACCAGGACCACGCAATTCGACATAGGCAAGACATCTGCTATCCTTCCGCGCCGTGTTGCGAAGCCATGATTCACTTGCAAAAAGAAGCACAGTATCCGCGAGTGATTTATTTAGGTGTTGAGTTCAAAATATGAGCAAATGAATACTTTGGCTTCTATTGAGTAGAACCACAGTGACATTTTGTCCTTTTAGCCTATGCTGGAGCCATTAATAAGAGCCGCTGAATTGCCATCCACTAACTGGATTCGGTTTGACCTACTTCTGTGTAATGTTGAAATGCGTGTCCCCACACTAAGAAATTTTGGCCAGCAAGATAATAGGACTCTGAGCTTCCAAGGTTTGTCGAGCTGGATGTGGTCATTTAAGGGATCGCCGTCACTGGACCCCTCAATCTCTTTTATTCTGATCTGTTGATGTTCTTATTTTTGTGCACTCCAAGCTCTGTAGTTGTGCTGTTTTAATCAACAAGCGTTGCTGCGATTTGAATTCCAACTAAAGGCGTTTGTTCTTACCAGGAACTGCCAATCTAACGTGACGTGGAGCAGCGCTTGTTTCTAAGGCAACGTGGCATTGCACATTCTATTTTGGACTTTTCTGAGTCCATTAACTAAAGGACAGTAACCTGATGCAATCTCACACAGAGCCCTACTATGGACTAAGCCATGTTAACATTTGTAGAAATCGTTCAAGATCTCAGAATACGAGCACGAGAGGACAAAGTACTTTCTGAAACTTTAAATTACCACACAACCAGATAAATTGAGCAAGTTAATAAATTATCGGTGCATGGAAACGAATGGGAATGGCATGGCCTTTTTTCTTTTTTCAGAAAATTCAATTAAAGTGAATTCGAGATTGTCCGCCTAGAATAAATAGTGCGGTAACTAACAGTCCAAAAATGTGCAGGAGTGAAAGGAGTGTTTTTTAGCCTTATACAACAAAATAACAGCTATTTTGTAAATAGCTACTTCAATACTTTTATATGAAGGCAAATGCTTTAAATTAACTTAAGTTCTTATGTGCCTACCGATAGGATCTCATCCCCAGGTCTGAGACCAGTTTCAGAGGCAGGAGAGTGGGCGTTAACCTCAGAGACAAAGATGCCCACAGCGTTCCCTCCGATTATCCGAATGCCGGTGCCAATCACGGGGTGCCGCTGTATGGTGACCACTCTGGGTCTGTCCCCCTCGGCATCGACATGGTCGATGTTGAGAAGGGGTGGGGAGATTCGCTCGACTGCCGTTGCGACGGCCTCGGGGAGACCTGGGCAGTAGGGACAAGTCGTGTGGCACCTGCAGCACGGCTGTCTTCCAGGTACAACGGCAGGGTTATCCATGTTGGAGACCGAAAATATCGGCCTATATAACACCGGCGAGTAGCCCATTGGAGATGTTATTACGTGAAGAGGTTCTGAAATGGAAGGAGTAGGACAACACCGGAAATTATATTCTGCTGACTTGAGTTGTTTTTTTATTTTCGTGTTCCGAAGACATAATTCTGAACTTTTGCCTATGTGTAATTTAACTTGACATTGCCTTCACTAATGCGCCCGCTTAGTAAGAGAATCTGGAATGAATATGTGATTCATAAAATAATGTTAATAGTATAAGGCAAAACGATGATTCTGGGCAAACTGAGGTTCCAAATATGCCAACTTTATATTGTCGCTGTTAATTGTGGCAAATACACTTCCCTGGAATAAAATTTATGAGTTTTTGTGAGCAACTTTGGTCCTAGTAAAATTCCAATCTCGTCATCATTATTTGTCTGGACCGAATAAGACTAAGGCGTACGCCGCTTGACGGTTTAGACTAGCCGCTCGGCTGGTCATAACCAAAGCTCTTTTGACAGTCTACGTTAAGGAACATGGCAGTCGGTTAGTGGGCAATGGTAGATCAAGCGCGGTGGTCGTCTTCGCGGTAACAACGTGAAAAGCATGACTGCTGTATTGAGGGACTATCTTTCGACTGTCCACTGGCTTGAGGTCGATATTTCTAGAGGTTCATGGTCAGTAATGTAGCGGACTCATAGGACGTTACTAGCAATGTCTCGGACATGACTGATATTTACGAAAAGTACCTGTCATCGAGCCTCCTAAATGCTCATGATGTAAAAAATTAGGCAGTTATATTATTTAAATCTCCCGCTTCGTAAAAGTTGAACAGATACCATTTACTGTGACTCTGAAAAGGGTTGAATGCATGATATGTGCCATCAGTCTCAAGGGCGTGCGAGATTGGTTCAATCACTTATTTCTTTTCTGCAGAAAGACTTAAAGACAAGACAACTAACCTTCGCTTTCTTGGGTCCTTTGAACAATTAAGTTGTACGGTCTTTCAAATATGACTTCGATCGGAGTTAGAAAAAATTCATTATGTGAATTTGATGAGGGTGGATTTAATGTTGATTTTTTTACCTTGTGGCCTCGATATCTCTTGTGGCGCACAGCACGGGTGCCCACAACGGTGTAGATTCTCATAGTCCGGAGGTTCGCCGACTTCAGACGGTAAACAAGCTTGATCGTCTTCTTCCTCATGTTCAACTCGCATCAAAGTCACATCCGACTGCTCCCTACGCATCAGGTAAGCGGCGTCAATCAGACTTAAGTGAGCCGCGTCGATCCCGTTCAGGGTAATCACTCTGTCTCCCGCTCGAATCCCAGCATGGTCCGCTTTCCCACCTGGCGTTACCGAGGTGACCACCAGCTGGCCCGAGAGTTCGACACCTAAGCCTGAAGAGGTAAATTCATTAGAAATATTTCATCCAGTGTTGACAAGACGTGGTTATTTCTTGGATTACACAGTCTCTTTGGCTTTCAATCCCTTATGTTGTTGAAGGTGTGCCAATTGCGATGAAGCCCATGTAGGAGGGCTAATAAATTAAACAAGGATGACAATCTTATGAGCCTCATTGTTGCTTTGTAATTTTATGTCTCTAAGAATTGTTCCTCTTTTTTATATTTAGAGAGAAAGATACCTGAAAACCGTGTAAATTTCTAAAAACAATAAGATTGAAGCTAATTTAAGCTTAAATGTATCGATCCTCTTGGAGTATGTCATCAGCTAAAATCCAGTAAACACCAAAAACCACAAAATCCAAGCCTTCTGGTTTTGTGCTTGTACTTTAATCATCAATTTGCCAAATACCTGATAGGATTTGCGAAACTCGAAGAGTTGTGTAGATTCCATTTTAGTAGATCCAAGATTTTTATGGGGTTCAGGTAGTGTAAAAATAATACCAATTTCCAGGGTTCAAACAAACTATAACCTATCCATTCTTATACTAAGCTCTAGTTCATCCACTAAAATAAAAGAATCGCTTATAACTACTGACAAACCACCTGAGAAACCTATTTTTAGCCCATCACTTCTTCCCAGAAAAATTAATGCGAATGCAAACCGATCGATTCCGATTCAAAATCAGAAAATAAATTAACATTTAACGGTGAAGCAAGCAAGTGGAATTTGAATGAAATTATCTGCTTGTTGTATTTAAGCAGTTGAGGTCAAATTTTGGTGTACAAAACAAAACGCTGTCTGTTGGTCTGTTTTCACCATGAAACGTTGTGCGCCAACCTTCACCAATTCCCCCTAGAGGTTTATTCGGCTTGACTGATGTCCAATGAGGGAGGCAGTAGGGCGAAGTTTGGGCAAATCTGCCACTCGAATTCGCTTTTCTAAAGCAGGCAACGATGAGGTGACTTTTGTTTTCGCTGTGCCTCAGTGCCGCTGCTTTGCTTCAACATTATAAAATGATGCTGTGAGTGGCCGACAGTCTTACTCTTAAAATGCATAATTTGGCATGCCTGTAACTCATGTTTCGGAAAATTACTTACCGAAGGATTTAGAATGTAGAGTTTAATCAGTTTGAGGCTATAGTACTTATTGCAAATGCTGTCTCCGCAATTAAAACCGATGTCCTCATGCAAACTTAAGTGCTCAACCGAGGAAAAACTCTGTTGATTCATATTCTATCTGCCATGGGTGACTAAATCTATGTGGACGTAGAGATAATTCAAAATGATTGTAAGCCAATTTCTGTTAGAATGTGGCTCACAATCAAAGTCCTTAATTTCGCACTACCTTCAAGGTACTTCTAATTGTGGTGACATCAATGGATTCATAACTCCCTCACCAAAATAGGTAAGAATTCAGGTATTTTAAGACCGCTGAATTGCCGAGCGGGCGACTTGTGTTGCTCTAACTCATGGCAAAGCCAAATGCTGAAAGGCTCAGCACTGCGGCCCAAGTCTCGTTTAGCGGACTCTGCCGATTAAGTCCTTGCTACTCTACCCAGCGCTAAGCCTTTCTTGGCTACCGAAAGCGCCTGCAAATTACGAATTCTGTGACTCACCCTCTAAGACTCCGCCTCGACTGACAGTCACGATTGCCTTCACCATACAATGGTACTTTTAGGTGGCTTTTATGTCTCCATGCGCCAACTATAGCTTGCTAAATCAGAATATCACCAAGACCTGCATCACCTCGGCCTTCGAAAGGCAAATGTGAAGTTTTTTGTAACACTGACACCCATTTTCATCAAGGGTATCGTCCAGACTCTCGAAAAAAGGGCCTTTTAATTAAATACTCATCATAATCAGTTGTTGGTTTTTACAGTCTAGATTTCTAATCACCACTTTTAATTTGTTCCCTCATCAATAAATCAGATCGTGCTTGTTACATTTCAAACATTTGAGAAAAAATAGCTTTGCATGCGTGTTTGTTTAATGGCAAATACGTCACTAGCACCACCAATCGACCGACGCACGCTTTCGTCGCCAGAGGCATCCTCACGGAACTGCATGACCAGAGGCCTGGTCTCCTGATTTCAACAACACACACTGTAAAAGCCTAACAAAAATTTCATAATAAGAGATGGCAGATATATAGATAAGGTGGGTTTATGCTCTTAACGCATCTCGCACTTATTTGTAACTTTACCGGGAGCATGATCAGTGCACCTGTTTTACTGTTTTGAACGATCTATTAAAGTACTTACCGTCGTTGGGATGCTTTTTTACAAAGTTGACCTTCAGGAGACTAGCGTAGCGCTGATCGCGGGTAAGCCCAGACGCCTCGTGTTCGGATCGAGCCGAGAGCTGTGGAAGAGATGCTGCGTGAGCTGGCGTCACCTGGGGACTTCCGATCCCTGTCATGCTGAAGGTTCTTCGAGGAGTGCTAGCAACAATATCCACACGAATGTAAAGGGACGTGAGTTTTAACACAAAGCAAAACGGTTTAATTCATTCAACATGTCTCCAAAAACTATGAACAATCAGAAACATGTAAGACTAAAGGTACATTTTGAACAGGGCTTCAGTTAATTAATCGAAACTTCTAAACATGTTTTTTAATCCGATTCGCATTTCAATAATTAAGTAATAGCCATAATTCCTTCGGTTCTTTCTCTGCTAAATTAGATAGTTTTCAGCACACCACTTAAAATTTGTTCTGGCATTTTATATGGACATTAGACAAGAGTAAGATCAGTGAGTTGATTAAAATGAGCATTCGCTCGGTAAATTCGCAAATTCGGGTGTTCGTTTTTTCTGCTCAGTATTTTATTTTACATGGTAAACAATGCGGAAAATCCCATGTAGATCTGCGTCATCAAGCCAAATAGAAGACTTTAGTTTTAATTTAGGTAAACTTGCCTCTGCGGTGAATGAGTGGAGGGGCCGTCGGGTAGAAAAAGAGACTGACAAGAAGCCGACGTCACGCCTTTCGGCGCTCCTCCCTCGTCCTCCCGTCTGTAGACAAGCAACGTGACCAGCCCCTCCGTCCTGCGCAGAATGTCGAGCATTTCTGGGTAAGATTTGTGCTCCAGGGAGATGCCATTGACTGCCATTATTACATCACCTGGCCTATGAATAAAGTCAGCATAAAAATCCCCCTTCACCTTTTGGTTTTTATGTTTAAAATCCCGGAAACCATTTCCTCTATTTTTGAAAGTGGTTAGGGACCAATTTTTAAACAAAAGGTCTTTGACTAGATGTCACCTATTCAACAGCCCTTTTTATGTGTCCAAGTCAACATGTTCGTCACTGGGTTGCTGGTATCAGAGAAAAACTGGATCTTCCTGCGTTTTATTATTCTGAAGGCCCTATCAATGAAACTACTTATAGCCGCATCTTTAAGAACGTATAAATCCTAGGTAAATACCACGGCTTAACATCTCCAAAGTTATTAACACAATTAAATCACTTTTACTAAGGTGTCTGCCTGCTATATATATAACATGGACCAAAACCCACACCAGGTGTTTTGTGCCAGTTTTAAGTTCCTACTGCGTCATTTCGGTTGTACCATATTTAATAGGGTGATATCATATTCCAAATCAACCAGTATACCGGAAAGTCTAAATTTTGCAACCTTTAAGTAAACGAAAAATTATGTCTCAACTTCATAAATTTGCACATTTATTCGAACCCTCTCGTAATTATTTAAGACCGATTCGAGTGGACCGCAAAAGTATTGCCCAAGCGGGTGTCAGTTTGTAGGTACGAAATCGATAACAAAATATCGATTTCGAAAATAGCACTGTTAAAGCCATTTGGTTTAGCGCACTGTTGTAGGTAGGGCTCTAAGTCTGGTGGCTAGGTATTTCGCGATAAATGACCCACAAATAGTGCAATCTTGCGTGAACAGCTGGCTCATCACAAAAACAGTAAGACATTAATTATAATGCCGAAAACAAACAGGACAGTAAACCATGGACAGGATATATTCTGAACTAGAGGCACTGTTTAAACATTAATGAAAGCGCGTCTAGAAGACTTTTTGCTTTTTAAAACCAATAGTACCAAAATTTTGCGATTTTCTCAGCACCGTCTTCACTTTCAAGCAAAGTGGAAATAGCACTTTAATTGTGTAAGGCATACATGTAAAAATTTATGTTGAGCTTACTGTAATTTCCCATAAGCAGGACTAGTGGGGAGAATTTCGACAATAAGCGCTCCATAACTGACCCACTCTCCCGGAGACCCACGCTTGATAGCAAGTCCAAGGCCCTGCTGCGACTGCCTCTCCAATACCACATCAAAGATCATTGTGTTGGGCCACTATTTGCTGTTCTGCTCAGTAACCTTGACTAAAGAAGGTCATATGAGCGACGCATTACTAAGACAGCGAAACTGAGTTGAGTAAAAATTTTCCCTGGTTGATCCTATAATGAAAGCGTAATTCATGCTCAAACCCTCCCATGCTCGTGCCCCCAGTCAACATCGCGAGATTTCTGCGGTCACTAAAATATCGATTTCCTTAATTTTCTGCTGATGCGCTCCGTGCACCCCAACACATACGCAGACTCGTCAGCTCTGACTCACACATTCGGCGCACAAATTGGATCTGCTTGCGTAAACCTGGAAGCATCAATTTACTACCAGTTTGGGGTCATCAGTGGCATCTTGCTGATTACTATGTAATTTTTTGGACACACTACCATCAACGTATTTGCACCTCACCTTGATTTCTAAATGGCTTTTCTTTTAAGCGTTGCCCGTGAAAGAAAAGGTTGGCGGATGGAAAGAGACTCCCAAGTAATTACAAAATGGTAAACTACACGAAATTACTTTAGATGGAAGAGTGTCATTGTCAGTATATTTATGGCCTTTCTGCTCCAGGCAACCAACTATGGAGTGATATAAACTAAAATAACTGGGTGGAATTGAATTTTGCAGTATGCCCAGACATTAATAGTTATACATTTAATATAATTGGAACTCACAATGATTCCGCCCTATCTATACGGCAATTTTACTAAGTAGGTAAATCAACGAACCCGCAGCAGTTCAAATCCGTGCAAAGCGTTGTTACTGTGGAAAGCAGACCGGCGTAACCCGTAATTGCAAGATGTTTACTGAAGGCGGACCATGGTTGCATAGACATACAAAGCCAATTCATTTGCATATGCTTTAGATGTCGAGAATGCGAGGCTCCAGGTAACTCCAATTGGGTACAGCATGGCTTGATGTGCTATCACAGTAATATGCAAATATGTTTTAGTAACATCGCACGCGAGTCGCCACCGACATCAGAGTGTGCCATTTGCCGATTCGACTGATGGGACCTCGCATGCAAACCATGGATCAGCCAGGAAGGCAACAGTATCAACGTGGATTTAAACCTTGCGAAGGCCACTCCACGATACCGCATATACAAACCGCCGCTTTTTAGGTAACTGTTAGTCTTTTTCAAGAGATCAAAACCAACTCCCTTTCACCAAACAGCAACCTACTATGTTAACCACCTTCTCTACTTCTACTACTTTTGAATGTTAGGAGTAGAAAGTGCTTGCTGATTCACCTAGCATTGGCCTCAGTGGCGCGCTGACCTTGCAGTCATTCGAGTGGGTAGTACAGCTATTAACGGCTAGTGGCTTTAAAATGGCGGTTCCCAAGTATCAGCATGACTTCGTATCTCAGTAGCCACTGTTACATCAACTTGTCACACGACGCTGGTGAATAGTGGCATGATCTATAAATTGTGGCTTTTTATCGGATAATTTGCTTGATTTTCAATTTGTAATTGAGAATAAAGGCATCTGCTAAATTTATAATTAATATTAAAAATAAATTTGCCCATCTTAGCCTCAAAAGTTTTTAGATGAACCGCAACTCTTTCAGCAGTGTGACAACTAGGACGGAAATCGCAGTATTGTGTTTGGAAATATATGTCACTATTTGTGATAACTATTGCTACTAAAAGGGACAACCCCAAGTGCCTTGGTAAGTTTTACAATGAAATGTGCATAGTAGCCTAGGCCCACACTGAGAACGCAGCGAGTAATGATAAGGTCAGAAGCAGGGAAAACAAATTGGTTCAATCATCCATTTACGCAAATTTGTCATGTGATGTTGTGAAGTCGGAGATTTTTAACATCAATAAAGTGGGTATATCAGTGAGCCAGAGAATTCTTTTCACTGATAGAGATGCCAATTTGGAAAAAAAGGATCGAAAAATGATTACCTAAGCAACTCGAAGGGGATCTTGATAATGTGCGAGCAAGGCGAGATAAATATGAAGACAAGGATAAATGAGTTTACCTCATCCATTATAGATATTTCTTTGCACTTGAGTTGCACACTGAGTGTATTTGTCTCATCGTCCTCCCGATCTCTGTCCATAAATCAGTAATTAAAACCACCAAAATTACGAAATGTTTCCGCTCCAGACAAGTCATTGCAATTTGCGCATCCCACCCCCGCCAAACATAGCTACCCAACTACGCAGCACGACCACGATTCGAAAGGTCAAATAAGCGTCCGGGTTGAAGTGACAGTCTGCTTTCTTGTCATGTCCTTGGAAAAATGCGCGCTGGCGGTAGTCTTGGTTATATAAACCTAAGATGAAGCCTATGTCTACGGAGGTGTAATCACCAACACGCAGACCCAAATCACTCCATTTGAAAAGTTCAGCCCCTACCCAGACCAGAGCAAGCCCATGAGGCCATGGAATGCTCTCATCGAGTGTGAATCTGTCCACTTATTGAGCTGACAAACTGTGCGCGGCCCTATTCAGTCATGATCACCTGCGGCTTGCCACCCCAGGTCTTCTAAACGCGCTCGGCGAACCGAAGGCCAACTAGCTAGCGATCCCCCCATGTACCATTTCTCACGCCTAAACGTCCAATTGCTTTCAGCAAAAGCAAATCGAGAATCCCCCCGAAGAGGTCATAAATGTGGCTCATGAATGTGTGAAGTTGGAAGAGCCAAAGTCCCAGTTAGAAGTTGGCCAACTAACAAGTGACTGCACACCGTTTGCAAACTGCTGGGTTTAATCTAACCCCCTAAACCAAAATTGTGAAGTACTGCTCTCTAGCATGTTTTATACCATATGATCTCGATTCTCAAATGAAGGAGTGGACATGGGAAGTGAGAGTGGTAGGGTGTCACTTTTAATGTCGTCATCATGTAATGAATAAATAAAACCACAGCGCTGAATGTTCGGGACAAGGGGCTGAAGAAGATATTTACAAGTTTCGGTGCGAAATATTTTGATAGGACAGGGATCAGTGGAAGTGGATACACTTTGTGCGAAGGGAGGTAGTCGTGTGATTGTCAGATAAAACAGATGTGTTTAAGTGGGGCGGGCAGGGAGACCAGAGGATGTGATCTACGTCGGCTCGATTGCGGACTGCGCGGTTGCCATCGACGTCGCGGCATCATCCATCGGTGTCACGTAAGACCTTGCGGTGATGTTGCTACTGCTCCCCGAGGTCTCTGGAACAGCTTCAGAGAACACTGGGTAGGAGGACATACCGCTAGTGGCAAGGTTAGATTCCATCGTAGGATAATCGATAGGAGGTCGCTGGTGCTGAGGTGTTGGGGGCATTACCTGGCCTATGGACGCCGCGGCCGCTGCAGCGGCTGCAAATGCTGCCGCTCGCACCAGCTCCAGCGCTGATTGGCAGTGCTGTCGTGGCCCCAGTTCTGGTTGGTAAGTGAAGGTCGAACCAGTGGCATAAATGACACCATCATTTCGAGCAATGCTTATGGGAACCTACAACAAAGTAAAATACGCAATAGGATCATAGACAAATTGAGGTGTTGGTGTAACCACTACTGAAGGCAGTTCCATGTATTTTTTGTTATGAGTCAAGCACCCACACTAAGCATGGTTTGGAGTCATGAAAATTAATAGGTTGTGAGGGTAGTGCTGCGCCAGCAGGAATAATGCAGACTGTGGAGTGGCAGTCGTGTGGTTTCAGGATAAACGCATCGAAAGCGGACCACAAGCTCCTCTGTGGAGATGCACCGTCAAAGGCGCAATACGTTCAACGCCCTAAGTGAGCAAATTCCACGCCATACAATCAAGGAGTTGGCATCAGAATCAAACACGTCAACATTGACCATCAAGCATCACTTTTACAACTGTTGTCCTGTTTTCTCATTATTTCGATGAACTCTTGAGGACAATATTACAGTGAAATACAAAATGTGGCGCATAAATGGAACCTAACTCTCCCTCTTAACTAGCACAGCCGACCCAGTAGCGGAGCATGTGCATGGTACGATTATACTGAGGTAACTGGGGAATGAACCGCTCTTAATCGTTTTCAATCGAGGCAAAGGCATGTCACGTGGGCTGCTTTGCAGTGCGCTGGAATGCGATCGGTAGAGCTTGAGCACAACTGATGGATGACCACTGAATTGACGAGAATCTCCATCCTGACGTTTCGTCTTCGGGACTTAGGGGGCCGGCTGCTGAACACTCGGTTTACTTATTTCATGCTGTGACATCGGACTGTTTACAGCACTAGTCGAGATGCGCGCTATAAATTCCGAAATTTAGTAATGAAATACAAACGCACTTAAAAACACGCGCCTCGAGCTAAGTAATTACTGGTAATCCTGATCTATAATTTCATCAGTTTCCATCAATGATTTGTATCAAAGTGTCCTTTAATTTTTTTTCACATTTATAACTTACAACACATTTTTAACGGAGCTTGGTGGCGAAAGCCCATAAAAAAACCTCGAAGGGGAGACTGGCGATTCGAGTTAAGAAGCAATGAAATTGTTGACTTCAATCTACAATTTAATTGTGCTAACCATGGAGAAGTGATGATGAAAACAGCTTAATCCAGCAGGCAATATTTGGCACCATGCCGGTTCGCGTCATCCAACGCGACAATTTGGCACAATTTGCACCAGCACCAAGACAAAGAGGCACTAGGACCTTTGGTTTTATAGCAGAAAACAAGCCTACGAAGGATCTCGATCGCTCAGCCCCTGTTCTTTATACATAAATTGGATTTTTCGCTGCCTTGCCGGAAGTGTAGGGCTTGTACTGAAGCTTCCATGTGCAAACCAAATTAGATGTTCTCACGCGAGAAGTTGTTCTCACAAGCTCGGTGTCATCGAAGTCTTCATGTTCCAACACAACAACTCTCAAGAACTATGCGAGTGGCAAAGCCGGTTTTTTTCGAATGACCTTGAGAGACGACCTATTTAATTAGAGCCATATCAAACAACACACACTAGTGCAAAAGGTACGCGATAAGTAAGGATTCTGAGGTCTGGTCCTTTGGGTTTTTAGTGAATTCACTTAGATGTTCACTTGGACACTACTATTGGACGGAAATATCCACAGAATCTAACTGACCGGTTATCACTGGAAGTTGAATCTCTGAAAATTGGAATGTGTGCAAAAAAAACATGAAAGCTCCCACTTGTAAGCCTGAGAACAGTGTAGGTTTCAAACGGTTTCATTACATTAAATTTCCATTTTTGTTAATAAAAAAAGTAGGAAAAGGAAAATCATGGCAGGCAGGGAAGTTGTTACTACCCGTCATCACGATACCCCATGCAAGCTTGTCAATCAAACAAAAAATTACCTGACTTTAATGAGCCCAGCAGTTAAAAATTTCCGTCACAATTTCATCTAAATAGTTAATGGCAAAACTGCTTTTCGGGATATTCGGTTTCCAGGAGTGCATCGAAACAAAAATGGCATTCATGCTTGTGATTTAGTGCAACTCCATGTTATAGACTTTCGGTGAATCTTACAATGAGCTACAGGTTGAAAGCCCATGTGAGTATGGCTTCAGGCAGTGACTGTATAGATAAGTGATCAGTAATCTTGAAGATTCTACTCACCTCGAGTTCGTATTGGATGTAGGTCCAGTCAGGGTGGAATTCAGAGATGTCCGGAACCAAACATAGTAGGAGTTCTTGACAGCGATAGAATGTCTGGGCGGGCACATCTCCGAACCAGACTTGGTGAGAAGCACTGAAATTCTCCCCGGACACCTCTACCATGGCCACATCCCCACCACCGTTGGTGCGGATGCTGGTGACGATGGGGACAGGAGTGACGGGGTGGTTGGAGGGGGGTGGGATTTGCGGGACGAGTGATTTGGGCACGCTCGGGTCTTCGCGCAGACTCGACAGCTCAAACCATCGGTACTCCGCCCGATCTGTGCTGATTATGGTCCAGGCGGCGGAGTCGTTGATGGTCTCCCTGTTGGGATTGTCGTCACAACGCACCGCCTGGTGCTGGATAATCTTATCCTGGGATAGACAGAGGTACATACGATCTGTGTCCTTCAAGTAGAAGGCACATTTGTGGAGTTGACTGACTGGATCGTCCGCGTCCAACATTACAACAGTCTTATCCACTTTTCGAACGATCTAAAGTCAATAGATGTAGTCAGAGTTCAAAGAATAGGAAAATGTAGTCCAACATCAAAAGGTCACTCACAAGTCGAGGCAATGCCATGCCGGTCTCCGAGCAGACAAGCTTCACGGTGTGCCCGTAGTGGATATAGCCGTCCCGCACGTTAAATTCCTCCGCCTCAGACTCGTCGTCTGACAGCAAGTGGATAGTGAAAGCGCCCCATCTGCTGGAACTAGCATGGAAACTGCCCGCGTCGACATGAAGGTAACGAGTACTCACTGTTTGAGATCGAAGACGATTGAAGAGAGCAATCTTTGTTCCCGAGGCGATACATACTAAATCGGAAAAGAGTAATTTAAGAGGAAATGGTAACGCCTCTTTCAACGCTACCTAGCCTTCAACTGAGCTAAGTGAAATGCTGAGAATGGTAATGGGAAAACGGATGAAATTTACCTACTAAAACATTTGCCGCAATTGTTCAACGCAGCAAGCACAGATGGCGTCCCCCAATTACCGACCACATGAAGAGAGCGTTTCATGATTTCGTTCAAGTTGCATACCACAGATCAAACGGAGTTAAAACGCTTTAAAAGAACTTGGGGACACATGTAGCGATTTCTAGGAAATCCTCCATTGAACAGCATTTAAAACCGGTTACAGGAGCTGCAGGGCGCGGTGTTCTAAGTGTTGCGTAATCACGGAGTTGATGCCGCAAAACATGCGGTTCCATAAACTAAGGCATTTATTTATGAATGTTTTGAAGTTATAAAATAATTATATGGGAGGAAGTTGGTGATGCCGAGACACTCTGTTGCACGTGCGCCTAACGCAGCCGGTCTGTCGAGCAGCAGTTAAAGGAAGCCCGTAAACTAACTGGAAAGCAAACGGAGTTTCATTCAGAACATATAAAGGGTAGGTTTGGTCAAAACAAAATCACAAGAGGTTTAGCTCGGCGAGGTACTCCCGCAAAATACCACCGTTAAACACCACCTGGTACTCATGTGCAGGCTGCTGTTAGCGGTGGCTTCTGTCGCCTGTAACCTGCACTGGCCCGGACTTGTAAGCACAACCTCACACGACCTGACAAAAGACTCCTCTTCAAATCATAAATTCGCGGATTCACGGATTTTATCGCGCTCAGGTGCGACCTACCAGGTGGCAGAAGGACGTGAGTTCTGTCGACGTGAACGCCAAACACGGCTCGACATCAAGTTGAGGGGAAAGTTTGTACTCAAATATCACATCGGGGCATCCTGATTTAGTTTGGTAACGGTACTTAACTGCCCAAATGCTTTTATTTATAATAAAAATTTGGAACACCAACACGAGTTGTTACACGAGTTGTCTTAATCACGGTGCAGACGTTTCGATTTTCTTTGACTAAAATAACTGCCATTAGGCCTCCTTGCCTTAAAGATTATGTCATTCTAAGCTTCCATTTCAAAATTAAATCAACACATCCAATCCTTTGCTGTGCCAATACAATGTTGGAACCCAACGTGCTGCTAGTCCACTTATTACCCGAATCGTCACTTGCTACTTGACAGCAGCCGGCCGACGCCACACAGACTGCCTGTCCCGCTACGTACCCCCAGACACCTTGCCCACTTACAATCGGTGTTCTTGAGCGATTGCTTTTTTTTGCTCGGCTTTGAGATGACCTTGATGCGTCGCGAATTGAACTGCCCCAGGTCCTTTCCGTTGGAGTAGAACATCTTCACAGTGAGCATGAAGTGCTTCCGCTTGTCGGAGTCAGAGATGAAGAGGGTTTTGGCCGCAGAGTAGTCCTTTCCTGGCTCGAGATTGAGTTGGACCATGTCCTTCGCCGTTGACGTTCCTCCGATGCCCATAAAGGCCAAAACCTATTTGAAAACAAAACAGTCACTCTTCGCCTAGCAGGGTGTGGAGACACCCTCCTACATGGATCTGTAGTTAAATTTTTTTGCAGTTCAGGAATTTTTTATGTATTTTAGTGAACATTGAGAAGTCATTGTTGGTTGCTTCATTTTGCTGGATTGCAAAAGGATTTCATAAATCAGCACACCAACATTTTGGTTTCAAATAACTTGAGAAACACCCCGAAAGCAGACATCTAACAGCATTGGATGCTCACTGTGACTGACAGAGAGAGGCAACTGACAAAGTGGCGTTAGCTAACTTAAGGGCGAGAAACACGCCCGAGTGGACTTTTGTAAGAGTTCACACAGCCAGGCACTTTTACGCCGGAAATGCGCAGCGCCGAGGTCTATTTTTTTTTAAAAAAAAAGAGGCCTGGAAGGATAGTGAAAATTGCAAGTATGCACACAATTAATCGATTGCCATAAAAGATTAAAGAATTTGGAGCAACTAATCCCTTTACTCGAAGGATTTGTAATTGAGAGTGGTTCGATTATAAGGTCAGACGTAAACCTCTAAATTACTGAGAGGTTTCAGGATCTTTACAACTGCTGTTCATCTCCGCGATCAAAAAGATTTCGTAGACTTGACTCGATCTTGCAGTTGTCCATAACGAATGATCCCGTCTGCAACAGCAGTCTCATACAACGAATCGGCGCAATCGAACCATGTTGGTGCGATTAACAAGGGGCACGACATAATTCCGCGTGAGTTTGTATTGTCAACAACAATGCACGCACTAGTCGCTCTAACGAATTTTACATCCTGAAGAGATTTGTTTGCAGATAACCCGATAATCGATGAGAAGACTTCGCTCCGTGCCCCCAATACACCACAAGCATGCAATGCCTCACCTGCGCTTTTTCATTGCTTGGTTTGTTTGCGTTGAAGTCGTGTTCGGACTCCCATGGAAGGAAGGACCTTTGGAAAGCCGAATCTGACGAAGAACTTGGACCCGGTCTGGCCTCCCAACCGTCACCTCGTAGGTAAATGCAGGGAGGAGGGCAGAAGAACCTTGAAAGAGAAAGTTTGTCGAAATTGTGTGCAAGGGTCGTGGCTGGTATAGGCAGCAGTCGCGTGACTACTTCCTCCATTTTAGAGCCCACAGATTCTGACATCGAACGGCCTGTAATGGCACGGCTATTATTTTTAGCGCTCTCCACCATTCGCCGACCAATTAAAATCAAAGGGGTGAGTAAAAAAATCCCTTACGCAGTAGTAAAATTAAAGCCTTATCTGACAACCAAATAAGAGCCCAAAGAGAAGATGAAGGTTTGCTAATTAACTTTCCCGATAGGATTCTACATGGCGGAAATTCGCACCTTTAGAAATCTACAAGTTCATTGGTGGACGAAACTCAGTTAAAGGCAACTGTGAAAGGTTTCTGCGTCATCGAGTGTAAAAGTTTATAGCCAAACAACTTACCTCTTCTCAGTTCCATAGGACTTCTGCGCTACCTTAGCATGGAGCACAATAAGCACTTGGTCTCGTCTATTCTGAAGGTACGAGCGCATTAATTCACGAGAAACAAGACCAACGGTACCGTCCCCAGTGCCTCCGCTTCCTCCTGTTCCACCGCCACTACTTCCTGGTACATCAAGCGTCCCCTTCTCTCCACCACCGCCCCCGCTACCACCGCCACCACCAGTACCCCCGCCGCCGCCACCAGCAGCCGCTGTAAAGCCACGCAAAGCACGCTGGTAGCTGGAAGCAGAAGTTCCTACTCCGGAGTAGTGTTCTCCTCCGCCAACGTGTCGGGAGGGGTCATAATAGGGGTCAGTGGTTCCACCTCCTGTAGTGCCGCTAAACAATGCCGAGGCGCGGTAGAAATCACTTCCGCTGGTTGCTGAAGTGGAGGGAAAAGACGAAAAGAATGAATGAGAAGGGACATTTGTCGTAGACGGGGGAAATTGAGAGTGTTGATTCGGTTGGGAGAACGCTGGGGGGAAACCGAGGGGAGTAGTTGTAGTTGTGGTTGATGTCGCAGAGGCTTTGAAGGGAGACGAAGCGAAGGCGGGAGGTGGTGGTGGTGGTGGCTGGTGTTGATTTGTGCCACCTCCGGCATCGGGAAGAGCTTTCGATGCGGGATCGGATGTTAGGGTGGAATACCTGGAAGAAAGAAGTTTTCATTTAACCGCAAACCGTTTAGGACGTTGATTTTGATTCATTTTGGAAATGGGCCTCCTTTTGTTAGTAAAAAAGTTCCCACAACTCGTACATTTGGCGTTGTTATTGTGGAGGTAAAAAACAGAAATTAGATGGCTAAAACCAGGTTGCAAACGAATTTAAAAATGCCTCATGCACAACACTTAGACCTTAGGATCAAATTCTAGCAATTAAGGCATTTTCATAATACCTCAACAATCAATGAAAGTACTAAAAATGGCTGCCAACGATAGAGGATTGGATCAGAAAGCAGCCATAGAAGGTGTAGCAAGAAGTGCAGTCGGAAAGCCCATAATCACAGAAGAAAACAGGCCCGAGAAAAGGACCGACACCCACTAGAAGACGACCACCCAAGATAGGAAAAGACCCACCACTCACCACGTCTCACTGGGCTGTGGCAACTGCTGTACAAAGTCCCCCTGCCCACGCCAGCCTACTTCCTCCGTCTCTTCATACTCCACCGACTTTTGGTCTGCCTTTCCGTTCCCAAAAAAGATAGTCTCGACCGGACTCAGGTCAGCATATGTTGGTGGGGCACTCAAACAACTTAAGGGAATTTGGCTTTCCGCGCTGCAGGCCGGACCATACCACTCCCCCTCGGCCCCACTCTGCTCGGTCCAGTAGGTCGGGTTGTCGCAGTACCTGCTATCAGTAGGCTGGTAGGCGGATGCATAATCTGTCGGTAGAGGGTAAGTCTGTTGGTAGTTGTAACACTCGTTTGGATGTTGAAGTGGTTGCTGTGAATTGCAGAGAGTGTAGGAGGAAGGGTGTAGGAGGGTGCGCGAGGGGGTCACAGCGTGAGATCCCGAGTTCGAAGCGGACGATATGGCGCCAGAGGCTACGGAAGACTCCATTTGTAGAACGGGCCCTGTCATGTCTTGGGTTGAAAGAAGTGTGTCCATCCACTAAGCATTGCTCCTGCGCGCTTCTCAACGATGCATGAGTGCGTGCTGCGCAACGATCGATGATTGGTGAGTGCTGTGAGTGCCTGCGCGTGTGCTTGCACGTGCGCGAGCACAGCATCGTCACTCACACACACACACACACACATGTTTACAAGGAGACCCCCTCAACCCACTCACGACGTTTGGAGTAATAAAATGCTTAATTGCACAGTGACAACACCCGTGGCTCGATATAAACGTGGAGAAAGTAAAGTGGATTTCAAATTTCAAAAGAAGCATCGAAGCGTAATGAGAATCGTCCCAAAACCAAACAATAAACTTTGAGTAATTTTTTCTGCTAAACAAGGTTATGAGAACCATAATGATGTGCGTTTCTAACACAGAGTGTTGAGTCTGGAAGGTGTGACCGTTGGCACACCACTAGGAAGAGTCGACGATCAGACGCGGACGCTACAAAACCTTCACAAAACAAGCCGGCCTTAAGAGATGATGGCAAAGCAAGGGACTGCTGGCTCCGACAGCAACGGGCAAGACATGTACGTGGGTGCATGGGAAGTTGAATTGACGCCACCGAAGAACAGAGGAATGGGGACACATAATGAAGGCGTTTGCCAGGTGCCTGCCACGGGCCAATCGCACAAACACACACACCAGAATCCTAAATGATGTCACGTCAGTTGTCGAGGGGATTAAGTGTACCTACAAGTGGAAAGTAGCCGTGCACGTGGGAATTTCCCATGTGCACGGCAGATCCAAGTGCCCGTTCGAGGACAGTTGCCTGCACGCGCTGGAAGATGCGTGTGTGTGTGTGTGTCTGGGTGTGTGAACCTTCACGCTCTCACGATTGTCGACGATAGTCGCCGTTCCCATGGCACAGCCCCTGAGCCTCGCATGACCTCATTAAAAACAGGCAAAATGGGAATAAGGGAGGGGCGGGGGGGGGGCAACAAGTGAGACTTCGGTAAGGGCGATCGCGAGCGCACACAAACACGAGAGCGACACCACTTCGCGTCCACGTTATCCAACACCTCTGCACGTTCCCAGCAAGTCCACAATGACCGGCAGCACCGCATAATGAATTGAACTTGCCACCATTCTGTTTTCTACGCACATCGAGGCATTTCTAAAACCCCCGCTGGTATAAGTGGAACCCGCTTAGTCAATCAAAGCTCTCTCTCTCGAGTGTGTGTGTGTGTGTGTACACCAGAACGAGGATCATTACAGACATAAAAATCGCTTCTCTTACTCGCCTTCGGTTTCTGGTCTTGGCTAAAAAGCAGCCACACAATTAACCTAAAATCTGGAAGCCGCCATTCACGCAGTAAATGCAGATGGCTCTACTTGAACACGGGTTTTGAGAGGTAACTGAACATGTAGTTTACAGCACCACCTAGATTGGCCAATCAGGTGCAACGTAGGTGTACGCATTTCCTGAATTCCTTTTCAAAGCCAGTGCAATCAGCACACATAATTTGATGCGTGGGAAACTTCCCACGTTACTCGAAGATGGAATTGTTTGATTTCCCACGATAAGACGAACCCCCGTAAGAAACCACGTCAAAAATTGAAGCATCGCGAATAAAATGAATGGACTAACACCCAACACAGATTACCGCTGTGTTCCACATAAAAACTCTTACATATGTAAAATTTGGTTGGAGAACAATTTTTTTTTCACGTTTTAGAGAAGCACACGGAGGAATGGCAAAAAAGCAGCTGCATAAATCATGATTACAGGAAGAACGGCCATACGTGAGATTGCAACGTGTCGAGGAGGAGTAATGAGGCTGGTTTTACGCCAATAAATGCACATTTACGCCAATAAACATTTAAGGCGCAACGATCGTTTAAAAGTGCGAACACTGTCCCCGGAGCAGAGCCAGTAATATCTGTCTACTTATTAATGTAAAGTAATGCATTATTGTCCTGCTCGAACGTTGGTTCAAAATGACCTGCCGCATACCTTCGCGCCAGCAAACATCATTTTCTCTTGAATAAAAACTGACTGCAACCCACGTACCATCACATGGAAATAATCGCTATGTCAAAAGGCAGGTCACTCCTCATCATTGCTGTTATTGTGGACATTTTCAAGGTCATTTTTTGTTTCCAACAGTATTTCACACACCACAAAATCGTACCGGAGATGCTCGATAAGGACCGCAGATTCCATATAATCCTCACGTAACATTATCTGAAAGGTTGATACTGATGGTTGAAACGGTTGTCAACGCTAGAGACAACCGATGTGATGAAACAAATGAACTACTTGACTGCAAATAATGCAGGGACATGTAATTGCCACATTTGGCGTTAAAAATGGGTACCACAGCGCGGCTTCAAAGCCATGTTCCAGAATAAAAAATAGCGACGCCTTTTATTTCAGCTTTCATTTGACAAGCCAGAGAGCGCGCTCTTCGGGGTGAATGAAATTTCGCTCATTTAAGGACAACTCGATGGCGGTTACCGCTAGCAGCCTGTCCAGAAGCGAGAACGCGTTAGTCGACGCAGTAATTCGATTTTGCGCCCAGGCCAACCCCCCAATTCGTCAATTTACCGGTCGATAGAGTTTAACCCCGCGTTGCCGTCGGCGGCACTTGAATGGAAATGAACGCGCATTGGCAATGCAACACTACTGAGGGATGGGATAGGGCAGCCGAGGGAGCAACCGATTCGCGGCGAAAATGCCAACACGTGACGAATCGGAGGAGGCTGTCGTCTTAGCGAGGCCCAGCCTCTGCAATGCTTGAGGAAATGTGCAACAGATTTGCCTTGAATTTGGCCTATACTTGCAATGCGTGCGTGAAAAAGCCACTCATCAAGCCACGGTTTGTGGAACGAACGAATGAATGAATGAAGCGACACACTTACGGTAGCTGAGCCCGGTAGCACTCGATGAGGGCCTCAGTCGAGGGGAACCCGAGGCCATCCGAGGACCTGGGGGGCTGCTGGTGCCGCTGCCAGCCGGCGGCGGCTGCGGCGCTGCTGCCGGTCGATCGCGCGAACGCCTCCAGGAAATCCGAGGCGTTGGGGAAGTCTGGTTTGCAGGCCGCGTCCCCGCTGGATGAATTCGCGGGCTGCGAAGGAGACGGGGAGACACGCTGATTAAGATGACCATTGTTCATCGGGGGAGGGGGGAATATTGGCGAGGGAACACTCATTATTCCCGGGTTCGATTCTGACGGATAGGCCGCCACGGCCGCAGCAGCCGCTGCTGCTGCCATGGCAACCGCCGTTGGAGATGCCACGTTCGAGGTAAAGTCCGCCGACGAGGTTGCTGCATAGGCCGCCGAGAAGACCGCGGCCGCGTCGTGAAAACTGGTCGGTGCTGTTGTAGACGCCGTCGGACTGTACCGACTGGCCGCCACTGCTGCTGCGGCCAGCACTGCAGCTGCGCTAGCGCTGGTCGTGGAAGGGGGAAACCTCTGAGCTACCTGAGACGCATTGGGTGGCGATGTCGTGGAAGAGGTCGAAGAAGTGCGTGTTGACATTATCTGACCTGAGGCATCATTGAGGCCGTTTGTTTCGTCAAGCGAGAGAAGATCTACAAATGACAATGGGCTACACATTAGCCTTCTTTGCACCCGGATGGCGGACGGTTAGCATGACGACCGCTGCACGGCGTGAGTGCAACTCCATGGCATGAGTGTACTCCAGGGCACGTCATATCGACTTTTGAACGAACGGAGCGTCTAGTGGGCGCACGCGCGCACGCATGCACTCTCGCACCCCCGGTCTAAGCCCATTCCCATTGGCAAACTGTGCAAGAGCGATGACGTTAGCATTTGGAAATTTTAAATTGCGGCGACTCCGTAAACGGACGCGTGAACCTTCGTACAGGCAACAGGCGAGTGTGCGCGCGACCGCCAACAGCGTGGGAAAACTGTCAGTTGACTCAGCTGTGCGCGCCAGACATTAAAATGCAACACACACACAGCATGTAATTGAGACCCAACTTGGTGTGCCCGGAACAGTGAGAAGCTGTTTAGCACTGTGGTATTCCAACGTTTGGGGCGCATCTCGTTCCAGAGAATACCCATGAAGAACGGACCGACTGCTGGATCTATTCGTTAGGCTAAGGCTCGAATAGGCTTAGAGTGAAACGAGTTTTAGGTGTGAACGTTAAACAAAGAAGTCAGACGAGCAAAGAGACGCTACATTAGCATCCTCAGCAGCTCAAGCGAAGAACCGTGTGACAAAGCATTCCCATGAAATAGACACAACTGTTAAAATCTCACCGAAGCGACTCTCACGGCCACTTCCACACGCGTACACACACACATTCACATGCATATGGTTAAATTCCTTTCTTTTTCGACGTGTGAACCGTAAACAAGGCAATATATCTGAATGAGTTTCCCATCTTCCCCACATTTACCGCAAAGCTAGCACAAGGAACTGGCATCCGAATTTTCGTACCAGCCCGCTACCTTCAAAGTTGTTCATCAAAAACAGCTTGCACGCTCGTGACGTCCACATTCCTCAAATGTCAAGTTACTTTTGTGTGGCAAATTCTACTTTTTTTGTATATCGCCCTTTTCTCGGTGTCAATTAAATTTACGAATTTGGGGGCAGATAGCCGCATTTAAGGAAACTCAAATGCTCTTGTCTCGTGGTGCTGTGGCTACTAAATATTTCTACTGGTTAGCATTCGTTCTTATGTAATATTTGATGGAGACAAGAAACCCTGTTAGCGATCGAACCTGCCGACTGACTCTTCGTAATGTCCGTCCCAAATGTGCGTGAAATAGCCGAGGTCACCGAGGAGCACGTGGTGCCGTGGCAGACAGATCAAACTGTTAGGGACGGCAGTTTGTCAACGCGACGTCCAACAGTTTGCGTCAGCTGGAAAAAATTCCCACGGGCTTGCTTTCTTCTTGAGGAATGCAGGGGTGTGTGGGTGACTAACTGTAGTCGGAATTCTTCCCTTTCTCCTTCAATCCTTTCCCCGGTTCCCTCGCACCCATGCAAAAGGCGTGCACCCGCACACACACACACACACACGTTAATCACCGCGTTCGTGGAACCAGAAACATCTTGGGAAAAGGCGTGATCCCAGGCCGGGTTTACGCGTTAACCGCACACATCCACGCAGACTAGACGATTCTGCGGGAATCTGCAATGATACCAAATGATGCAATCAGTTGGGACTGGTCAAATTGCATGTGTTTCAAGGTAAATGTTGGAGTGGCTCAAACACAGGCGCACTACTTGACACATCACTTAAATAATGCATCTGCAATGGGCTGAGATTGAGGAAAAATTGGTAATAATTCCGCTCAAAAGGCCCTTACACACACCCAATCCGGTAGACCAGGGTTTTTCGGTGTATACAACATGTTAAGGAAAATTTCATGTTATAACTGTAGAAACACTTTTATCCGTGGACCTACATAAAACACAAATTTTACACGAATTGAGCAAACTAATCTGCTTTCGAAGGAGGTGCAAAACACCAACCTAACAGTTCTCAGGTCATTAAATCAGCTCAGAAGACAAGGTGTTACCTCTCGTCCAGCCGTGAAGCCACTTGAAGATAATGGAACAAACTTCAACTTAATATCTGAAATCGACTTCCCAAAAACCTCGGAATCAGCCCCATTGACATCCCCAGAAGACCGCCTTAAAGGACAAAGATACTTTTAGCAAGTCGATGATTTCTTTAAATCAGCTCCAGTCTCAGGAATGCCATTATGAACTGGACAAAGTGTGTGTTATAGTGACTTCATAGCGTGTAAGCCCTGCATTAGCTTATTCCGACGCAAAGGATATGTGAACACCATTACGGCGGACCACACTGCGATGCCGCACTCGCAGTTGCAGTGACTCGTGTTGGCTCACGTCCATCAGCCCGGGCATCGAATACTCAAACTCGCCACCACCTCCTTGTCACGGCGTTCGTATCGCTCACGGGGTGCTGTCTATTCGTTTTACCCCTGTGTGTGTGTATGTGTTTGTGTACCCCCACCCCCCACCTCAGTTACCCATTTCACTCATCCGTCCATTTTAGCCGTTTTTTTTACTTCCACAAGTTCAGGCTGGCTGTATCGATTTTCGACCCCCACTTTTCAGTCCTGGCCCTTTTATGCGCAGTGGCGTCCCCCACACAACTTGGCCAAAACATCCGATAAACGGTTGAGGCTCTCCCTCTCTCTCCTCGCGCTGCATCGAGCTGCGACATATTGATAACACCGTGGCGTCTACCACACTGAGTTCATGCAAACAAAGGCAACAGTGAGTGACCATTCATTCGAGTGCAACTCGACGGAGACGCACTGACGATTCTTTCCGCTTTCCAAGTGGATTGGAAGTAAAGGGAGGCTGCCGTTAACACAATCTACTTGTTTACGTTCACCTCATCACACACTGAAGCGATTGCACACCACAAGGATTAATGGGGGTGAACCTAGAGTGGAGCATACGAATACTCTGGCAGGTGGTCAAATTTGATGCTGTCAATGCTTGTGATACAGAGAATCAGTAAAGGAACGTTGATGAACGTTGGCGCATCCTATATAAACACCTGATGTTTTGCAAATATTTGAGTTCACAAGGCCCTCGAGTTCTACTTAAGAAATTGAGGCCGGTATTCCGAGACAAAACCAGATAATTTGCTTGTCTACACATGTTTGCAAGCGTGCATCGAAGTATCAGTAGACATGTAGGTGGTGACAGGCCATTTGTCGTCAGGTGTCAAACGCTCTAAGCACACACAACTGCGCTCGTGGTTGCCTTAAGAATTTTTTTAATGTGCCACCATTCGACACAATGTGCCTGATGCTCCACTTTTGGTTGTCATGACAACGCCTGTAAATCCTGACACGGGTCTGGTTTTAAAAATCCGTTTGTTTCCCTTCAACTTACTACGATTTCCCGCACCCTATTTTATCGTCACCTTCATGGTCCTTGCTAATTGCCCGGAGAGCAGATTTTAGATGAATAGTCGGGAACACGCGACCTTGTGGCAGGTGGTTACACCATCAATTAATACATTAAGCAATGTCACATTGGATAATCAAATGAATGGCCAGCCGATATAAAAAGCACACTTCATCAGATGTTAAAGGTGTGGCGTTTGTATACACACATTGTCCTCCCCACAGTGCTCGCGAATTGAACCTCCGAATGAAAAAATTGCACAAATTAACCAGAGATGTCGCATCAAAAACATGCGAGGCCGACTGAAGCGATGACGATTGTGAAAACGACACTGTTCGTGCATTTACGAGAGTAAAAAAGTGGGATTTTTTTGTAATGGCGTGAATAATTGGCAGTTCCTAACGTGCCCTCCTCAATTCGACGCCACAGATATCAATGATGTGGTGATGGGCACTTTTTTCGCACTTAAAAACTTTGTGTAAAAGACTTGACGGTTTATTTACGCGGACGTGACGCCACTTCTGTAAATTATACCGCCCTAGCAATTATGGGTTTAAAACAACTTCAAAAACGCAGAGGCCAACTAGCTTGGGAGAAAGCACACAAGCTGACCATAATTACAGCACCAAGTTACTTGAACACGATCTCGGCCAATTCAAAAAACAAAAAAGAGACCTCGTCGCGTGAATGGCGTGTACCAATGCCACAGCTGAGGCGCCTGCCTAGCCGGTGCGTATGCAACCCCCTCGCGAAGCTTAAACTCGGAAAAAATTAACTACACCCGTCTAATCCTGCGACCGCAGAAGCCAAGTTCTACTGCAACTTTCGATCCAGTAAGGTAGCGGATGAGTGTGGCTCAGTCATTACCATGCCTGTTCCTTAGGTGGGAGGAGAGGTTAACATTGTTTGGGGATTGGTGTGGACGAGCCTTCCTTGGGAGCACACGGGGCGTGCGCATCGGGTTTGCGGTGTCGAGAAACCCCCTACAAGTTAGTTTTTGGCATGCCTGTGCGCGCAAACAAACGACACACATTCACTTGAACCCAGTCCGGACACGATTCCTCGCCGGCCTACCTTGTGAAAACAGGTCTTCCAGCGTCCAGAGCAAACTCATGAATTAACTGACGTACCAAAGTTATCACAGGCTGAGTCGGTCAGTGCACCTCAGCCTTTCCGAACCTAACAGTGAACATGCAGCTAAAAACACTGCATTTAAATAGAGCGCTGTGCTACGGCAGTGGTAAATGCTAGTTTTGTTGGATGAGGTGACTTTCCACCTCAATCGTGCCTCGCGCCTTACCCGTAAAGCCACCCTTTCCAGTGAAGGAAAACGGAGTAGCACTAGTTCGAATGGTGCTGAACAGCAGCTTCCATTTAAAAGGCATCGCACAAATCTCGTCCGCACAAGTCGATCAGGCAAGGTTTGGTCATTTGCCTGCTTCAGCCAAATCCACCGAAAGTGAAGCGAGCATGAAAGTTCGTGGCAAAAGATGATTGACGCCTTAACACAAGTTATGGTTAGAAATAAAACGCGCAGGTACTCAAAAATGGCGCGGTAGATGGTCTGAGGGGAAAAGGGGGTAAATTTACCCCTGGAAATCGGACGCTTAAAGAAATTTGAAGAGGAGCAAGTAATCGCGTTCGAGTTCTCTTTTGCCTAACCCAGTCAAGAAACTTACATAAAGCATGGATGCGATTTCTAAAGGGGCTGCGTAAGGGGATCGGCTGCAACCCTTTTCAGACTACTGGTACACTTAGGCAACCGGATACAAGACCGCGTGAATGTGCGCTAACAACGTACAAACTGTAATCAGATTGGGATAGCGACGACTTTTTGGCACTTTAATTTGACCAAAAAAATTGAGTTATACTTGTAAAACAAGGACTTGAAGTGGTGGTTAAGCTTACTGAAGGCAAAGGATACATAAAATGTGCGCGACAGACTCAATAAGCAAAAGCTACGCAGTTCCTAAAGCTCCTGTGTAATGTACACAGCAAAATGCATGCTTGGGAAGCGTGCAAGGCAAAAAAGACCAGTTTCCATGACTTTTATGGGGCAAGCCGATAAGCCATTGAAACGCTCCGCCATACATTAAGATTGTTGTGCCAAGGAGAAAAAGAACACAGGAGTTGAAGGACACTCGTTGTTTGTTTAAGCGCGAGACCTTGTGGCTCGTGGTTCATACAGCGAGAAAACTTCCGTGCGTGGTTGTGGGTGTTACTAAATTTAGGGTAGACCGTGGGAAAAAAATCCGAGGTAAATTAAGGGTCGATCATTAACGAATTAAGTGCGCACTGCTTCTAAAGACGACGTTTCAATATGACTGCAATCTTTGGCTAAACATTGGAAACGATCGAATTCACGCCCTTTGATTGCTTTGGCTAATCTACTAGCTTTTAGCTTTGGGAACTGGTCTTAGACGGAGGGCTGACAATTTGTGCTGTGACGACGACTTGAGCCAACTGATGTTCACAGCCGGTTTGTGCAGCTAATTTCGCAGCACAACGAAAACAGACGCTGCATCTGAACTGGAGTGGCCAGTTTAGTTGCATTTGCACAAATCCAGCCCGCCCAAGGGGACAGGCGATTCCCCCCAAGTTGAGGTGTGTCACGTCCCCTAGTACACTTCAAAGATTGCCTGGTTCCGGTTTCCTGTGGCAGAACAATGGTGGGAAAGTCGGAGTTGAAAAAACGGTTTGACCAACAATCAGGAGGCATTTACTTGGGTGTGGGCTTGGATTGCTCAGGTTGAGGACTTTGTCAGGCGGAAGAAATGCTCTTTCCAGATATGCACGGAGGCAGTCAGGTGACTGCTTCAAGGCACTATAGTTAGACTTTAGAATAACTAATTTGAGCTTCTGTTGAGAGCATCCATGTCAGGAACTGTACACAAACACTTATTTCACGATATCTTTAGATTTTATTCAAGAGGTTACCAGGGGTATCTGTGTTCCTCGTTAGCGTTGGCCTCAAGTATTTTCTATGTCGACTCATTCTGATGTACGGTGACACTATCAGTGCTCTGAGCGTAGTCCGGAAAACACATCAAACAATCCGAATAAAGCATACAGCTAGATTCTCAGCTGCAATCCAATAGTAACTTATAAAAATGCTGGTTCATTGTATTCGCAATAGTTTAACTGACTTCAGAATACTTTCAAGGTGGCAGAGGTCTATTTCAGATTGGTACCTCAAGGAGCTACCGTGTGTCGGCCTGGCCGGTTGAAGACAAGGCACTGTTACCTACACCCGCCCCTCTTTTCCTTGTTGCATTTCCCACTTTCATCCCGCTAATTTTAGTTTCTGCTTACTTGTGTCTGTGTGCGTGTGTGTGAGGCCAACAAATTAATGCCCCGTCCCGCGTCTGCCCGCCGAGATTTTGCGTGTGCGTGTGTGTGATTTGTGTTCAGACACACCGTCGTTGGGGAGAAAGAAGCCAAAAGAAGTATGCGATGACGTGTGCGCTGGCGCAAAGCGGCGTCTCTCGTCTTTGTGAAGGTGGCCTAGTTGAGGTTAAATGCGCCTCTTGAAAGTTCAGTGGATTACCCTCTGTGCACGCCTAGTAATTTCGGACAAAACAGTCAACGGCGCATCGTTCGGACAGAAGACGTGGGCTGACGTTTTAAGAATGCCTCAATAAGTCATTTGGTGTCTACACTTCTGCTTGGAAAGACGCTCATGCATGCGAGATATTCATGCACCCTGTGGCCATGACACGAGATTACCTTTCTGATAATTCACCAGGTCTTGATTGAATAAACAAACACATCCAGGACGACCAAAAGTCTGACACTACTATTGACACATTCTTGGCCGACTTCCAGCAGTATTAAGGCTAAACGCCTAAACAAAGAGTAACCCTTTCGGCAGATTTCCAAGTACACATCACTCACCAGCTCCCCTGAATTTTGCACACTTTGAAACCTGCAGGTTCGAGTGGTAGCTGACTCACTGAAAACACCCAAGAATCCTGTTTAAGGTGAGCCGTCTTACGTCATCACCGCCTTCCGGCACATTTGCCGTCAGTGTTCATTTATGATTGGAACGTGACATTGTGTAAGCAGCTTTGGATAGCCCGATCAGGAGAATAAAGGCACTGGACCATCGTGCAGCAAAGGCGACTCAGTGTAACTAAATTGGTAGCTGAAGTGACTACAGATCCTAAGACACACCTACCGAAGTTTAGAGTCAGTGGAAAATGTAATGAGTGTTGCGTACAACTGACTGCCTTGTATAATCTCACTTTATTCAAGTCTGGATTAGTCAGAAAATGTACACCGCTCAAATCTCGTAGGTTAATAATACAGTAAAAGATTTTCTGCAAATACTGAAGCATTTGACGGAGCCAGGATAGCGCCTAAATTCAAAATCTCTTGTGTGGAGAAAACCAATTAATAGACATTTCTGCTCAACGCATCGTGGGATGTTGCGTAAAGTGTGTAGGATGTGTATTTGTGCGTCAGGGCGGCTTTTAGTCGAGGAGGTGCTTCCGTCGAGCTAAAGGGCACTGTACCGGTTACAAAGGCTGGTGTTCGCCTGAAATCACGCTAGCCACGCACACGCACATCTGTGATAGCGCCCACACCCAATTTAGCGTGACATCATCCCGGAAGGAGGTTAAGCTCTCTTCAAAGTGCACAAATTGCGCCACTGCTACTACTTCTACTACTATTACCACCGCCACCACCAGCCCTGACGCCGCGGATTCGATCACACATTCCTCGAAGAGCCACGCCTCAGTTCTGTGCGACAAGAAACCGCGCGAATTAATTCACGCGCATACAAATATCGGTTGCCAAGCGTCTTTTGAGGTGAAAGGTTGGAAAACCACACGCATCAATCTACTCCTCTGCCTGTTGAGATTGACAAACACCGCCAGTCCTCAAAAAACATCTCAACTCGAAAAAGAGGAGGTGCACGCGACGCCCTGCTTCCCGATAGGGAAGGTAACCTTACAAAAGCTCCACTTCAACGCCAGAGGGAACTACAACCGGTTCATTTCACTTCTTCAAAATGACTCGTAGGACATACCTTAGGTACAGACAAATGCTGCTGCGACCATTTGAGTTCTCTTATTAAGCCACGTCATGTTGATAAAACCTTTGCACGATTTACAGAAACAATGCATGTTTTTGCAAAAATACGGGTTAAGGTGCAATACTAATTCGTGCAGAGAGACGGGAAAATTTAATCTTAGGTAAAATCTTCCGAGGGGATGTTCCATTCATAGCGAATCGCTTCCAGACACCATAACGACATAATTGAGTGAAGAGGACTTTCAACAAGACAAAATTGTTTGCCCTAGCAAAAAGCGACAACGGACACAGAGAGGTGGGCGTTCAGGGTTTGGATAATTCGATTAGAGGCCCACCTGACCGCGCACAAGCGGAACGGTAGGGGGGAAGAGCGTCACCCCAGTGAGACCCCCACCTCGGAGAGGGAGCTGTTTCTAACTACTTTTTGACGCCGTTCCACCACAAACCGCGTTTGTCATGGTTTTCCGAAAGTAACAAAAATAATGAGGACAGCTGTTTCGGCTAGCCTGTCATTTCACACAAAACGGCATGTTAAAACCTGCCCTCCTCCTATCCCTCCTTCGACAAAAGGGGGTGAACCGAGGAGAACCCCAAAGGGGCAGGGATTTTCGGAGGTAAATTTCGTCGTACGAAAAACCCGCATGCTTAAGTGCCCCCACAAAGTTGACTGGTGTTTTGGAAATACACCAAGTCATTTGTAGTACCTTCAGCCACCAGCTTCCCTAATGCAGGGGCTAAAACTGACGACCGAACTCCTCGTTGAACATATTTTGCTCCAATAACACAGTTGGTAGCCTCAAATTTAACCGATGGTCGTTAGATACCTTATTATTCACAAGCATGACGTCAAATCAGCACTGCCGTTGGAGCTTACCTAAGGCACCGAGGATGGATGGCAGCTCCGCAAACCGCAGTGGCGTTTTGTTTCGACAACGCAACTTGCTGACCTTTGACAAATCGTCCTTTATTAATTCACCTCTCTCCTCTTCACCGACCAGGTACCTGGATTTGCATCCGAAATGCTACACAGTAAAGTTATTCTTGGGGCTTTTAAAAATACGCACGAATGGTGATCATGAAAACCCACGGTATTTTTTAGCTGAAAAACCTGCGGGAATGACACGATCAGAATCAGTGGAGGAAAATCTTTGATGGAATTGGTGATGCTGCCTTACAATAAAATCACCAACAAACAAAGGCGCATTTCTACTCACAATTTTCTAAATGCAGCATTCGCCTTCCGATTCCGACCACGAAGCATTGCGAAGACACCTCCAGACAAGGAATTATTAACATCTTCGACACTTCTCGGCTAATTTGAGGCAGAAATAAGTCACGGTTTCCATGTAGTGGAGAATCGATAACTTTCAGTTAAAGCGACAAACCAATAATTCACACTGGGAGACTTCGCTAAATTTGGTTTTCGCCAAAAATTCTCAATTAGATGGTTGTGTTTGTAGTGGACCTGATAATAGCGAGACGAGCGATCGCTCAAAACATTGCAGATCGATTTTTGTCTCTGCTTGTCGGATAATGCTCGAGGAAGAATTTGAATGAAAACGAATGAAAATTTAATTCATGAAATACGATGGATTGAAACAGCTTCTACAGTCCACTAAAGATGGAAATGAACCGAGGACATCGTTCATGCTCCAAAATAACTTAAGATATTAAAAGGCAGCAATTGTTTAAGTTTTAAATCAATGTGAACTCGAAAGCGACACCTCATCACACCAGAAAATCAAAATGCAATTACGGGGTCAATTTAATAAAGCAGACAATTTATTATTAGACGAAAGTACTTTTCATTAGGATAAAATTAACCTATGACACTTCAACTTGAGTAGAAACCTTTCTGTGTCCGAGTGAGATCGTTTAATATTCAGCAATGCCATCGTTTTAAACATCCGACTTTGATTATGCAGGATATCTCATTCCGAATCATCACCATAAACATAACTAGACAGATAGTGAACTTTTGTTATTTGCCTCTGAAAATAGAACGACACATTTCCGAAGTCTGCCATTTTCAACCTATCATTTAACGAGGAGGCTAAAAGGGAGTCTTTCAATAAGTTAGAAAGTATAATTCTGCAGGGTTGGAAATGGGAGCCCTTAGGTGAACAGAGAGGTTGAGATCACAGCAGCGATTTGGCTTGGATAAAAAGGAAATTATAACCGTTTTTTTTTAAATCAGCCTGATATCAATACCATGGCCTGTGGCAAAAAAATACACAGGTCATCTAATAAAGCGGGTGCATTATTGTGTCTACCACTGGCGAATTCGAGATCGACTGCTGCCGCAACCCGGGCTACAATAGTTCTGTAGGTTGTGGAATGTCATGTGGTCGAGGAAAAGTTTTAACTGGCCTACAGAACTACGAGAGGCAGCATGATTAGCTCGTGGCACAGCTGAATTATCACAACGTCAAACCTCAACAGAAGGATGATGGACACAGTCATAGCGGGTCATTTACAGTAATTCAAATGTAAACTCACAGACCAGTCGGTTAAAATTGACAACAGCACATATGACTTTGGTGACGTCGTCTGTGAAAATACTTCACCTGAGGAAGCGTTGTCATGAGAGGACCGATTTCACACGTGTTTCAGCTCCCCAAAACAGTAATTTTCAAGTTAATGAAAGTGTGAAATAAAGACAGTGCCTCGAAAACTTCGGTGTGCGTAAGATGCACAAATTAGAAGGTTTTGACCATCTGGAAGTATTTAAAAACGATAATTATGAGGCGGTTGAGAAAAAGGCGGAGAACAGCGGCAACTGATGGAGACAGACGCGGTGCTATGGGAGGCGAGACTGGAACGAAGACGAAGCTAACCTAGAGAAGTTCCCAGTGTGGAGGGAAATTATTAGAGAAAGAATTGACTATCGATGCAGGAAAAAGAACGACCTGCAAACAATGGGGACAGAGAAGAAAAGTCTCTTTAATTCGTACGTGGGGTTGGTCGCACTAACGCAGCGCAAGATGCAGTGGATTGCGCTCACAAAAATGAGTCACCGAAGATTGTGAGTGCTCTTTGTGTGGGTTCACTGGTATTTACAATAAACCCACACTTTCACATGCACCTTCGTGTGTAAAAGCACACACGTTCCCTCCGCCCATTACCCCACCCCAATAAGCAGTAGGGGAATTGGGGACAGTGGTAATAGCTTCGTTAGATTTTAGTATCAACCATAACCAACTTCGGCGACTATCACCACGTTTAGTTAGGAAACCTACCAGAAAAGGTTTTCACTTGAAAGATTCCGAAAACGAGTTGCTATGAGGAGCAAATCCATCGTCATTAGCTAACGCTGATTATTAAGGCTTGCTTAAGACTCGCAATCAGCATTGATATCTACACGCAGCGATTGATTTGAAAATATTTGTATCCACACTCTAAGTCGTACAATTGCTAACAGCTGGTAATTTGTCATGGACAGAGAGGAATAATGAATTGCTGCATTCAGCTAACACAACTATAGCAGCACGTTGTGGGCAAGGCCCAGGGGACTACACGGGGAGTTTCCTATGGAGAGGGAGTAATGGTACTCCATCCTGCTAGTTGTGATCAATTACTAACCACCATTTTCACTGGGTTCCGTCAACGCGTGGGAATAAATTTAAGCAAGTCAAACCATCCCAGGTGAACGCTAGGATGGTTAAATAGAGGGTGATTTGGGGGGTGGCTTGCGGTGGGAGGAAACAAGATATTGCTACATGGATTCCCATTAGATGGCAAAAGACAGCCGATACTACGTCATGATTTACATGAGAATAAACAGCGATTACCACTCGGCCTTCCAAACTACCATGTGAAAATGCACCCACTACCCAAACCAGCACCACAAATTTGCACTTTAGTATCAAGAGGCGCGGTGTCTGGATGTGTACGTCAATGCTTCAGGTGTCTCGAAATGGAGGCAAGCAGTAATGCGGATGGAGACGAAGAAGACAGCCATTACTTTGACCCGTACGCAGACCTCCTTTAAGGAGCTCTTCAAATGCGATTTGGCATTCTGACAGATGTGTGGATCGCCGCGAATTCCAGCGGACTTTAGTTGCTACTCTCATAGGTGCCAGGTGTCGCAAGTAGAGACCTTACCAGCGTCTTAAACTTAAGATTTGCTTTAAAACCTCGTGAAAGAATGTTTTCAAAAAGAGCGAAAAGGCCTCAGTAATCTTTATCTCAATCCCAAATTTCTAGGCTCGCCTCAGACGCGGACTTAAGCCAGAGTCGCACCGACCGATTCGGTCGATGCGCCCATTCCCGTCTTGTTAGCCGCAAAGCGTAAGAGCACGGTTCGAAGAGTCAGACGAAGGCCCAGCGATGTACCAGCACATACAAGCATGCACGTGTGAATCAGACGTACACACACACACACACACTACCTATAATTTAAGTCGTCACTGCGTTAATGCTTCTTCGGACAGTGGCAGCACTGCCTAATCGACTTTTTGGCTGTCGCCTCAGGCTAATTACACTGAAGTAATAATGCTACACCCAGAAAACGTCACCAGGAGAAAAGTAAGGTGCTGACAAATTCGTTAAGGGAATTTAAGTTGAGATTAGCACCAAATGCAGCAGGTCTTGTAGTCTGCCTTATCAAGAGAGGGAAATTATACTTGTAAAAAATGTTTGACTCAACACTGTGAGGTCCAAGTAAGCTTGAATTGTTGTCATTTTAGTGTCCAAAAATTTGGGCCTAGAGAAACTCAGCAGGCCCACACATCAGAGCAGATGTTTGCTGCGTGGCGCGACATGCAACTAGTTCGACCTAAACGACGGGCTACGACATCATCGCGCTTTTACCATGTGCTCTGAATGGTAATACTACTAATATGCGTTTATTGAAAACAAACAGCAAGCCGCTTCGAGTGATAAAAGGGCCACATTTACGCAACATTCTTGTTTCCTGTTATGAAGGCGACCAGTGGACACAGACCATCCGCGAGTTTAGCAGAAACTTTCAAAACTACCAGATCGGTTAAAAGCCGAACAATTCAGGATAGCACTAGGTCTCCGTGTTCATGGCCACAAGACCATCAGTAGGGTTCTGACACTGAACGCAACAATGTGTGTGCTAACGGACAGTCCTTTTATGTCTGTCGCATTAGTTTACTTGAAAACAGATGAGCACTGTGCACTAAATTATATTTCTACCATGACGACCACGACCCCCTCGATCAAGTCGTTACAACAAAGTGAACTGGAGGTGCTAGGAATTAAGCCGAAAGTTTCAGTCAACCTTCCGCCAGAATGCGTAAAAATTTATAGCCTAATTTGCAGTTCATATTACATTACGGTTAAAATTGCCTTTTTAAATAGGGTAACATTGATGCAAACGTTTTATGCAAAAAGAAAGGTTTAGATGCCTCGAGGAAATTTACGATGTCCTGGGGCTTCATTATGGAATTTGCATGGAAGCAACAACCCCGTACTATGCAAGCGGACAGAAAGCCTCGTAAATATTTCGATAGCGTGAGGAGCTGTGTATCATCTCATTAGTAATATCGAAACCGTCATGTTAACAAAGTATGCACAAAAGGTGAGGTTATTTAGGGGTTACTAAACCCGGTTTTTACTCAAAACCGTGGTAACAGACGGAGCTGTAATTTAGTCCGACTAATCCTGCAATCGGGAGTGTGTAGAATTAAATTGGGATAGCCCACCCTTGACTCCCAAGCGTGAAACCCTAAGTAGTCTTCACCACTGCGTTGGATTATCGAATAGAAGAACGATAAGATAGGTTTTAAGAAACAAGTAATTAAAAAGTAATTTCACTCACCAGTTACGCCAACGTAGTTCTGACGTGGAGAAAGGATGCTTTTTTCAGGGGACGAGAAGGCCGATTGTCGACTGCAAAATCCGCTGCTTAAATTATTCCCGTTAACCTCTTCGTTGATGGTTTGTAAAAATCGATTGTTTGTGTTGACAGTGGTGGCGGTGCTATTGCTGTTCCCCAGCCCGTTTGGGTGAAATGCTGCCGCAAGTACTCCCAGATCAGGGGGAGAAAACATGTTGCTGATTCTGCTAATACGCTCACCTCGCTCTGGACGCAAGGACGCACACGCGCGTGTAGCGTTTGAAATAAAATGTGCGATGGGATGCGAGAACGCGCGTTCAGGAGACAAATGGGGTCTCACCGCTTAAGCGTACGTACACGCGCGCGGAATATTCACACCCACCAATCAGAGTTCGAGGAGGGGAACAGGGTTGCGTCACTAACTGGGGAGGGGGAGAAGAAGGCTACTGATATGG